TAATTTCTTAAATAGAAAACGAAATATTTCCCATATGTATATATTGTGGCCCTTGATAAGTTATATAACATGGTAGACATGGGTTGGGTGAGATGGATGCTTCACTCGAAATCAAACATCTAGAGAATCATTATCAGATAGATATAAGATGAACGTAAATACAACACCGGATCCATTGGTGTTTTGATGGCTGAATAATTTCAAGGTGTCAACAAATGGTAAGCAGCTCCCACACCCAGATAATTTTAAGTGTTAACACCGATACCGTCGTATACTTTCTATCCATGCGGCTCGACCTATGCGCGGGAGACGATATTGACAGAGGGGAAGACAACCAATTTATCAAGTCTTTCATCAAGGTCAATCTTGAAGATGAAACCAGATCATCTACACAATATCGAATATTCACATCCAACCTTTATATACATAAGCACCTGACGTGACGAATATTGACATTTAAGGACTTTTACGATTGATCACATAAGTTATCAGTACCTGTACATGGCATGGTGTACCACTAGGCCAACAAGTTATTTCAGAGTCTCGAGTTACTCTTATTGACTAGATTTTGTATGACAATATACAATACGATCACAAAAAAAAAACCCCCCGATTGGTTTGTGTTTAATTATCGTCAGATCTCCATAATTAATAATAGAGCTTTGGTCACATACTTTTTTGTGCTCTTATGAAACAATAATAATAATAATATATAAATTAGCTAGTAGATTTCGATAATTTGGTAGATGGCTCATGAAATCCTAACTACCGTATCGGAAACAAGAAAATAAAAGCTCAATTTGTTTTCAAATAAATAATAAAATAATTACTAGGTCGGGAAAATATCCCAACGACCCAATTAAATCGATACTAGAGTCTAGAGGCATCTCATCGCACTTGATTTTTTTTTCTAAAAATAAATAAATTTTATTTTATGTTGGACCAAATTGAAAAGATTGAATTAAATACAATTAATAATAGAGATGTGTTATTATTATTGTGAGACCCAGGACAAAAGAAAAAAAATATATATTTTATAGAAATGATTTCGCTCAACATGGGTTTGACGCAAAAAAATAAAAATATATTAATATTCAAATTATCTACAATAATTTGTCCGCAGGTTCATTTGAGGGTAAGGAATTCGACGCTGGACTAGTAGTTGAAATGAGTGCTACAAAATTCTCTACAATCTGTTGGTAAACAGGTAAAATTAGTGAATATGAGGCGTTGAGTTTGAGTATTACAAATTGTGTAAAAATCTTATTATTTTTGGTGTACTAATGTCGAGCCGAGTTATTCCGGAACCCACCCTTTTACATACTGACTCTATTATAAGCAATATTTTTTTTTATGAAGATTATAAGCAATATTGATCTACAAAATCCTAATTTGATTTGGATTTTGGATCATGAAATATTCATTAGTACACATGCAGAGGTAGTTGAAATGCCAACTTAAAATAGTAATTGTGAAACGAGATCCAATCCACTGATGGTGATTCGCCAGCTTCAGATCAGACAGCAACCAAAGGATTTTACACATCTAACTATCTAACTGCTGATTGTGTATATAAATAGTGTATTTAAATAATTTTTATTTTAACAAGAGTGATTATTCTTTTCTATTTTAAAATGAAATATGATAGATAGGTACATTAATTTGATTGTCGATATGACATTTGAAATCACTCAACATAGTCAAATTGAATGACTATATATAATCTCAAGTCCCAACATAAAAAATGATCTTTTCTTCTAAACATGATTTATCCCGATCATTCCTAAAGCTAAAGTCAGAACCACCAACACATTGTAATATAATTAAAACGATCGAACTCGCCTAAACAATACGTAAATTTATAATATGCATCGACAAAATTGAAAATACACATGAATAGTTGTAACAATAGGCAAGTATCAAGCTGCCTTTGCTAATGATTTTAGGATTCAACTGTCCCTCATTTTGTTATCTTTGATTCAGTTATATGTTTGGGGTTTTACTGATTTTCATTGTAATGAGTTTCTTCCTTCTTTTATGAAAAGAAATAAACCCCACCTACAGCAAAGGACAAAAAGAGATTATTCCAGATCATTTATGTCAAAACAAAAAAACAAAAAAATAGCCCAACCTATGTGATGACAATGAGGCGAGACGGATACCTCTATACTCATACTTGTCATGTACCAGCGCGGGCTAGGTTATGTAATAATCGGGTCGGTCAGGTTGTGACAGCTCGACTCATTCTTACGTATTATTTGAAGAAAACGTTCATTTTAGTGATAAAAGAAAGAAAAAATGCAGATAATAAATAGGTTAATCGAGTTCGATTAGTCGAAAGATGAAGTATTTTTCTTGTATAAAGTATCATTAGGTGATCTCAGTACGATACATTGGGCGGCGAAGAAAGGAGATAACAATTCAAGAACGAGTTGAGATAAGTCAAAATATGAGAAATAAAACTATATATTCGAACAAATCGAGAAATGACCGATCAAGAACGTGACGGGGCATGTCGGAACCAGTACCCATGTTATACTCACGCAGCAGCGGATCCAGGACATAGTAGTAGACCACTGTGCCGCATTTGAATAAAAATTTAGATACAATACCGATTAGCACTAGGTTGAAAGAGGCGGAGAGCGCTGAAAGCAAGCAACAGGACTCGTTTGCTATACTAACATCCGACCCCCCAAAAGAGGGTTGGGCCGTGGGCAAGATGGTCACCCCTACATCCGCCCATGTACCAAATATATACTTTCGATCGAGTATTACCCTCCCAAGTCCCAACACAAATCAGATCGGGTAATATCGAACAAATTGGGTTCAAATTCCCATTGGTGCATAGAAAGGAAGGAATCATGTTGACTAGGCAGAATTTGATTAGACAAAAACATTTCTATTTTGGAAGTTTCCTTTTTAGCTGTTTATGAGGCCATGGAATATTTACTGTTATGTGTTGGTATATTACTAAGTTCTTTACAAATCAAAGAATGGAACATAGGATCAAAATATAATCAATAATGGAGCATTATTATTTATATAACATGGGTGCCGTTTCCTTGTGTAAGTATATTCTTCCTCCTTGTTGCCGAATCATGGTACGTGGCCAACTGCATCTTGCCAGTATGAGAGACAAATTGCTTCTTTCCGACCACAACAAAATCTGGACGATACATCCTTAATTAATAATAATGGTAATTAATAATAATAAGTATGCGTATGTGTAAAGTGGCAGCAACAGTCCAATGTATTACCCCTTGATTAATCAACGATTAGTCTATAATTAAGAAGCTAGCTAGCTATGTAGATCTATTCATTATCGAGGGGGGAAAAATAGATTTCTATTTTGCTTATCATGAATTTAAGCAAATTGTGACGATATAGGGTATATGAGTGTATGTTTTCGAATCGAGTTACTCGTCAGATACTCATTTATGATTGGAAGATTGGGCTTTCTCACAACTTTTGCGAACGTCAACTTTGTGACAAGTCACCTAAGAAAAAGTCCACCATCAAATTTTGGGGGCGTTTCATGCTTTATCCTGTTTAGATGTAGGTTTAGATTAGCCTGCTCTCATGTATATTATATTGTATCTGTTTAGTTGCCAATCATTCTATTGTCATTTTTACGATGGATTTACTCCAAATTCAACAAGCAAGCAATCCGTGAAGGTTATGCCGTTGTTTTTTATGCACTGATGGTGACACGAAAAGAAAATTGCCCACATCGCCAAACAAACAGAAAGGGCGGGGGAGGGGAGGGGAAACTCAACAAGGTTGTAATGACGAAATTATAATCAGCGCGATTGAAATACGAAAGGAGACTCATTGAATAAATTATCGATCCGAATCTAATGGTCATATCCCATCGAGATTCCATTATATTAAATGACTAACACTTTTAGACTCCCTTAATAAAGATCTCCTATTCGAATCCACGTCGAGTTTCACCTATACTTTTCTTAACCATTCCCCCCTTAATCATTAACATAAGGAGGGAAGGTAGGAAGGGCTTTAATTGCTACCCACTAGCTTTGGTTTTGTTAATTAAAGTTAGCTTGTTGACCATTTTCAATGGCTATTTAATTGTAAAGATGCTTGGTATATTGGCAGGGTGTTAGGATTGCATTTAGTATTACAAAAAATCCAACATATTTTATTTTAAGATCACAATATTATTGCCATGGGAAATAATTGCTTTCTATAAAATATTAATAATTTTGTCCTTGTTTTCTTTTCTTTGACAAAATTTGTTTTTTCTCTTGACAACTTGCTGCTGCACACAACTTGAGTGACACCAATGAGCTAAAAACATGTCCAGTTGATTAGAACAGCAAAATACAGGCATCTAGGCCAGAGGAGAGCCATTATACCACAAGTTTACATATATATATAAATTAAGAAAGAACCATTTACAATAACACAAATTATTTTGGTCATGGGTTAATAATGCTAATTAACTCGAGTCAGAGTAGGGTCCACCGGTAAAACACGAAATTATTCGAGTATTTTTCTACTTACTTTCATTCAGTCAAGTCATCAGTTAATTGTCCTTAAAAAGAGTGCTATTATGGTGGTATAAGAGAGTCATTCAACATCGTGATCATCCTCCTTCTCTTCGATTTATATAGTAAGTTAGTAACTAAAATTCTTTGACGACTGAATTCGAAACTAAGGTTACAAATGACGCACAGTAACATTCGTGGGAATGCTTTCAGAATTTCAAACAAAATTAATTAGCAGCAACAACAGTAATTTGTTGCCCCTAATAAACACCCAACTTGAGAAGTAAGGGAAGTATCTCTCTTTTTTCAGCTCTGCAAAAAAAATGCTCTCTTTTTTCTTTTTTCCCTAGATTAAAATACAACATTTCTCCCATCACACAAAAAAGGGGAAAATGAAAAGAAAAAAAAAAAGAAACACACCGAGAAAAAGGGTTTAATTATGAAGTATAACAGTAATTAACTAACTAACCAGTATTACTAATTAAGTAAACACTAGTAATGCTGCCACAACGAGTTTCCAAAACCACCGCCGCCGCTGCCGCCGCCTGTCGTCTCCGCCATTAAAGACAGTATTTCGTCGCTAAAGTATTCTCCACCTCCCACGCCGCCGCCTCCGCCGCCGCCGTAGTAGTCGTCGCTCCACCTCCGATCATACAGCCAGGAGTCCCCGTGCCACACAAACTCGTCCACCAATTCCGCCGCTGCCGCCGCCGCCGACTCCGATCCCAACCTCGGCAGCTCCACGATCTCGCAGAGCTCCTCCTCCGCCGCCGCCTCCCCGTCTCCGTCCCTCGACGACGGCGCGGAGGAGACCTCCGCCGCCGACGACGAGGAATACGAGAGAAGCGAGGAGGCGGAGGACGACGACGTCGCGGCGCCGCCGAAGCTCATGGCGGCGGCCTTGACGGCGGCGGCCTGGACGTCGCGGGGGCAGTTGGATGCCGGCCTCGGGAGGGAGCCGGCGAGTTCGGGGAAGTTGAGGATGGCGGCGGCGGCGGCGGCCCCCTTGATGCTGAGCGCGGCGACGTCGTGCGCACGCGCCGCCATATCGGCGGTGGCGAAGGTCCCCAGCCAGATCCGGCTCTTCTTCCTCGGCTGCCGGATCTCGGAGACCCACTTCCCCCACGTTCGCATTCTCACCCCTCTGTACACCGGGTGCTTCTCCCCGCTTTTTCCGCCGCCGCCTTCCTCTCGCCCTCGCTTCAGCCTTTTGGTTTCCGGTTCCGGGTCGGGTTTGTCCCGGTTCGACCCGGACGAGGAAGGAGTGGCCGGGTTGGTGACCGTGGAGGAGCTGGAGCATGGTGAATCGGCTGCCACGTTCCCCATTTTTTTTTACTTTTGTGACCCTCCCTTTTGGTTTAGGGGGCAGTGTCCTACTCTGTGGAAGGATTAGGACAGTGAGTCGTAAAAGATGGAGAGAGAGGGAGAAATGAGAGGGAAAAGTTGAGTAATGAGAGAGAGAGGGAGAGTGTATTTATAGAGGGAGGAAGGGGGAGGGAGGGTCCTGGAATGGGAGGGCGATGTGTCCTACAAATTGGGGCTGCCAGCTGGCACGAGCCCATTAGTCTTTCCTACCGTGTGAGCGAGTGAGCGAGTGAGTGTACTCTTACCGTCACCGTGTGCTTAGTGTGTTGTTAAACACTCACTAGATTAGAGTATGCCGGCTGTATTGATTAGATGGTGTTTTTTTTTTTTTTTCCGGGATTGGACCACGGTATCGGAGGTATGGATGGATATTGATGAAATGTCGTACTTCGAACTTTTTTAAAGTGTCAACTAACGGTCAAACAGACAGAAAGTTGACGATTTGGATATTAGATTGTTTTCGAAAAGGTTTGGCTATTATATTGTTTAAAATAAAAAATTTGGATGTTAAATTGTATTTATCCTGATATTTTATACTGAAATCATGGCAGCCTTTTCCATTTGCTAAAATAATAAAATTATATAAGTTGTGCCTCTGCTATTAATTTTTCCTCTATTTATGACTTTATGGTTGTCTTCTGAAAGTGGTAAAAGGCAGAGGGGAATGGTGGACGTGTCTTTTGCGGTTTTATCCAAATCCATGAAGTCAGTCGGTATCTTTATTATTATTCACCTCCCCCATGTTGACAGATAATTCTTACAGCGGCAGTAAATTTCGATATAGATTATGACAGCTTCGGTTAAGATTGGAGAAGCTTCCCGGCTCTGGTAGCCTGGTGTAGTACTGCATAATTATATATTCAATAATGATAATAATAATAATTATTATTATTACAAAATTATGACTACAGAATTAATTACGTAGATATAGGTATATTGTTATTAAATATGTGTGTATTTGTGTGCAAGCATTTAATATTCTACTTACACATTGATTCTTGTTTTCTTCATTAATACTCCTTTTTCCCCCCCACACAGCAATGACTCATTTGCCCTGCTCTCTGCTGAACTCCTTTGTATCCTTTTTGCTAGTGTTGACAAATTAATTCTGCTACTGCTTTTATTTCACCTACAAAGATCATTTATTTTCTGCCTTTTTGGTGTAGATTAGGCATATCTTACCGAGCCCTATAGTTGGTTTAGAACCTAGTTAATGAAAAGTTTCACCACGTTAGAAGACCGATTTTTTTTCTTTTTTTTTTATGGTGCTCTAGAAATCCAGAGTGTACTGTACCAACGAGAAGGCGCGGTTTGGTGTCGATCGTAGATTTTCACGTAACTAGCCACCCTTAAAGGTTTGATCATGTATCAGTCACGAGTTTTTTATTTTGTGAGTAGGTTTTGGTGTTGTAGGTGGTGTGCTCCTTTTTAAATCGTCGTCTGTAGCCTTTTTATGTAAACTTTTTGAGGTTTCCACGTACGGCTGGTGAATGTGTAATTTCTCTACTCGATTTGTGAATTTCTTTCATAACAAGGGTAAACAGAAACCGGTTTAATTTGTGAGATTCTAGTATAGAAACGATTAATGGGGTGAGAATCTAGGGTTAAGTTTGAGTTTGTTAAGTACATTATTAGTTAATGGGTGTGCTCTAGCTCTATGCCGACTGAGGCTGAGGAATTGACTAATGAAGGAGAGAGGACACTGTTGGGTTAACCTTAAATTTAATTGCATGTTTGGACCGACCCAGACAGCAGAACAACCAAAGTTGGACTTTAATTAATGGGCCTACAGCACCCTGCATAATATTTTATTTCCTGCAAAATAAAATGAATAAATAAATAAAATAAAAGATGCCACACCCTTGGCTTTATTCAATGCATTGGATGATAATTTCCTCTCTTTTCCCCCCTACATAATATTACTTATTACAGAATAAGATTTGCTTGTATTTCAAGTATGTATTAATGTGTTTTCAATTTGCTTTATAAAACTACAAAAAGTTCATCCGATCAACATTATAAAATGACAGAGTAGTTGTAATCAATGTTCAAGAAAGACGCTAGGCGCTATTTAGGCGAGGAGGTATCGGCCAGCGCCTAGGCCGATTAGTCGTTGCCTAAAAAACATTGAAAAAAATATGATAGATAAGTCATATTCCACAAAAAACCCAAGTCGCCATATCATTATTCATCCATTCATATACACATACAGCCATTTTCAACAATCCCAAACATCCCAAGTCGCCAACCATGAGGAGGGATCTCGCTGCTGGTCAATGAGGGGGAGCGGCTGGTCGAATGGAAATGGGAAATAGAATAGTGTTTGGGATTTCCACAAAAAAGGTTACACTCCCCCCCTTTATTAGTTGTTCTGAACGTCGCCCACCAGAGTGAAAACGCGTCTCCGGGCGCCTAGGCGCCGATTAGGCATTTTTCCATGGAGATTAATCGTTTAGCACGCCTAGATCAATCGCCCAGGGCTAGACGAGGCGATTTCTTCCTGCCCGGCTATTAATCGCGCCTAGGCGAGAGATTAATCGCGTCTTCTTGAACACTGGTTGTAATGCTAGACTATATAATCATATATTTAGAAAATACCAAAGATTAAAATTATAAAATTGATAATCAAAATCAAATTTCAGACTAGAGTATATAGTATACACCCAAAATAAAAACCATCCTAATACATTCAGGACTGCTGGTCGATTTTGATTTTTCAGTTTAAACCATACCGATATGGTGCTCTCTTATCTGTTTTAGTATCGGTCACTAGCCATTTTTCACTTATCCGTTTTGGTTTTGGTTAAAATTGAAAAACTAATAAGAAACCAACCCTGTTCAATTCTCGTTCCTTGAAACAAAACCGAACTTTTCAGAGATTTTAATGATTTTCGATTAATCGAAACCATTTATAAACTCCTTTAACTGTTCGGTTTCACGAGAATGACTTGTTTTGATATTTCAATTTTCACATATAGACATTTGAAAAAAACAATTATTTTCCCCTTCCACACTCCCTGAAGTTAATATCTGAGATATGCTTCCATTCCATGCATTCAATTCATCATTATTATCAACTTCAAGAGCATTTGTAATTCATAAATAGAAATAAAAAAAATCCATAAGGTCCCCTCTTGTTCATATCACATATGGAATCCAGAACCCTAGCTAGCTAGAAATCACTTCCCGATTCATATCTCGAGTCATATCAAGGCTGGCATAACAAACACAAGATTAAATGTAAAGCTTATAAACATCGTGAGGATTGTAATCCTTCGCAAACTACACGTAGTTCGAGTTTCGTACGAGCTTTATACGAATGTAAGAACGCGAAAACGAAATCCTTGTTTCGGCACAATAAAGGGTAGATGACCTGGGATGGTACTAATTAAATAGCTGCCAAATCAAGAAGAACAACCCGATAAGTGATTGAACCATTGTCACATTCCAAAGCTAACATGTGAGTTTTTTTGTTGGGAGATCGATCGATCCTCCATTTCCTATGATTCAATAACTGTTTCCTTTCCTAACAATTATTAGTGTTGGGACGGTTTGTGCTATGTATATAGCTACTATGTAGGTAAATTTTCTTTTTCATTTGGTCCATTCTTATTAAGATTCATTAATTACAGTGTTTTGATTCCTCTTTAGAATGAAACAAGATTATGTATACATGCACACGAGAGTGTATTTGTGGTAATTTTCCTTCATCATATTACAATGATATCGAATCAAACGGATAGGATATGCGTGACGGATAACATTAGTGATTGGTTCAATTAACTATCGACTGATCAATAGTTACAAATCATTCATTCGAATAATTCGAGTTCTTGAACGGGATAGATATTCAAAATTTTATACTATACATTGACACTAAAAGCCCCATCTTCACACTACACTTGAATTAAACGAATTTGATCGATACACGTAATAATATCGATCATACAAGATCCGGTACGAGAGAACCCTGAATCGCAATTATTAAAAGCAAGAGAACCTAATTCATTAGGCAAATTATTAGGCTTTTCATTTTAACGGTATGAGTTGGTGTTGCATGCATGAGCTTAAACAAGCAAAAAAAAGAAAAGACAACCGTATATACTAATTCCTTGTTCTAAACTACAATGCCCTAACTAAGCTAAGCTAAGCTATCTCTCCTTTGATTAGTTTTGGGAATTGGAATCGACATAAATTCAACGTACATACATATTAGAAGGAACATATCTTGTCGGTCGATATCAATAATTTGGTAATATATATATCTACAGTTCTAATTATAACGAACGGCATCTTAATTAATCAATTATGAGTTTATCAACGATGGAAATTGAATGCTTTGCCATATATATAGTAGGGAACGATAAATTCATTTGCTAACATATCTTCAATTATTGCTAATTTGATGAGACAATTAATATATAGCTGAACTTTTATGTCCATGAAATGGACTAAATTTTGTTGTAAAGGAAAAGGAAATGGACTAAATTTCGTAAGCCTATGCCCTTAAAGCTTTAGCTCCAAAGAGGTGAATAGAGGACAGGGTTTTTAGGCTTGCTTGGAAAGAGAGTTAGGAATCCTCCAATTTCAGGGGTTTCTTTTGGATTACAACGAATTACAGGATTTCCTTTTTTTCTTCTTATTCTTCTTTGTATAAGGCATAATAGTGCGCCATTACCTTTGTTGTTGATAAGAAATGAAATGGGTGATAGCATATCGAAAGAGTTGTACATAGAATAGCAGTGCAGGCCAAAAAAAACCGCATTTGAAGAGTCAATAGCATGGATTCCAAAAAAACAAAACACTAATAATAAAGAATGATGATTGTGACGACTGAGGTAACCTGGCATAAAATTGACTTCTCTAAACATATATGTTTGAAAGGCAAATTTCTCGCTCTAAAGTAAACACGAGGAGAATCGCTACGGTGAAGACAGCGATACGCGCGATATGTGATTGTTGGGTATAAAGATCAATATTCGAAACATCTTTCAACAACTCTAAGTTGTTGCGTTCAAAACAGGGTTTTCAACATGGTATCTTAACTTTGTTTTGACCAATAGGTTTCGTATCCAAATCCTCCAAACTCTCAAATGGTGTAAGAACAAGGTATATATAGTAATAATGTGCAAACTTCAGGCTAACCGCTCATGAATCGATATTCGTTGAGAGTAATAAAGAAAGGTATAAGATTAATGTTTAGACCTCTCGGATATGCTGTAAGTATAAGGTATAGTAACCAAACTATGTGCAAACCATGGATCAATTTTCGTCAAGAGAGTGTGACAAAACAGTATAACATTCATATTCAGACCTCTTCCAATACCTGAAATTATTGACACCAACCCGTTCTCGATCTGAAATACCATGACGAAGATTAGCTTATGTTAAGAGAGGGATATTGAAATACCGTACCGTACCGGCGGTTCAACCAGAAAACCTCCTACCGAAGCCTAAACCGGTAGGCTGTATTTAGCGGTATGAAGCGGCTGAACCATGGTTAAACCACAATTTTAGCATAAAATACCCTACCGCTGACTTTTCCGATACCGTATTTCAATCCTTCACACATTGAGAAACTACACGTTTGTCGTTTTGCCCTCTACCGTTCTCTTTTATGATCACTGCCACCCACAAAAATATCTATATGTTTCTTGTGCAAGAGGGTTATTAATTACTAGCTGGTTTCTTTCACATGCCACTCATGTGCCCTCCCATGCTTGCTAGGTAAGGTAGGTCTTAAATTGGGAGGGCGATCGATCGGTTAGCCCTCTTCAATTCTCTCATCTTTGCATGGAGAGTGCCCTTTTAATTGTAAGGTCATTATTGTTGTACGTTATAATGTCCTCCTAGGTTCTCGTTATAAATTAACATGTTACATGTTTTCCTGCCAATGGCAGATCGATGGATCTCTAGCTTGGTCACCATCTCATTCCAGAAAACTGCTGCTTGGAACGAACTCTTGCTCGGTTGGTGAAATACGTACAAGCATCAGATGCACGTATCATCGTGATTGAGATAATTAGTTATAGATGGTCAACTAAACATGATATGCGGCCTAAATGATCTATGGTTGGGCTGTATATATAGATTGACCCGACAGTTGATATCCTAAAGAAAGAAAAGTACCATATATAGTCAAAATGTACACACTCTCGGTAAACACGATGAAGAAGAAAAATACAGTCAACTTCATATAAGCATCGAATGTAACGTATCATCGTGATTGAGATTGGTTATATATGGTCAACTACATATTTACACTCTCGGTAAACATGATACGTAGTCAAAATGGCCCATGGTTGGATTATATAGATAGATAGATAGATTGACTTGATAGCTAATATTCTGAAGAAGAAAAATACGATCAATGTGTGGTGGTTGCCTCAATCAAATAAATGGTCTGCATATGAGTCGTCCGTGTATAACGATGTAAGTTATAAGATTGTGAAACTTCATATAAACTCAGCTTATAGTTAATATCCTTTAAGACAGAAAAGTATCATCAATTTGTGGGAGGCTAAACCTATAATCACTGGCGGTTCCAGGGGCGGCCACCCCGGGCCCTGGCCCAGCCCTCCTCTGGATCCGGAATTAGTATAGTCTTTATGAATTTTTCGATTTTAGTTATTCGGCCCAGTGTTATTTTATAATAAGATTGGGTGTAACTAGAAAAGTGATTCAAATTAACATATTCAAATCACTACTATAAATTTTTAGTCTAGAAATTCTAGCTCCAAAGATTATTCTTCTAAAAAAACAATGAAATCTAAAATTCTGAAGTCTAAAACAAAAGAGTATAAGAAATATGAGTTTTGTTCCCTGAAAATTTACTAAAGCAGCTAGTGGAAAACCTTTTCGACAATGAAACATATGAAAACTGATTTGTGCAACAAAACGAACGATGAATTTCTCGCCGATTACTCAAGTATTTTATTTAAAACAGTGTATACTATTGGTATGAATGTGGACTCCATTATTGATGTATTCGCTAAATTAAAATATCGTCGTGTATAATTTATATTGTAAAAAAAACTATAATGTTTTTTTTACGGTTCTAATTTTCTAATGAAATGCGGCCCAGTGCGTTTCTGTGTTCTGGATCCGCCGCTGCCTATAATATAATAATAATGAATTGCTTGAAAGATTTGGTGCTTTGAACCCATACGTTCTAACAACTTCTCTTATGGGCTTTTCCATCAAAGCAAGGTGGGAATTTAAGTGAGAAGGACAAAAACCATACAATACATCTTTTCATTTGCCCAACAAACAAAAGAGCAGTTGGACATCAATTTCACACCCTGCCAGATGTTTATCTGGGGTAGCTGGCTGGCTGTTTCTTAATGGGCTGCTGCTGCTGGGCCTACCCCCCTCAAAATTTCAACTGTCCTATTATCATTTCGTTTTGAACATGTTGAACCCATTGGGCTGCTTAATGGGCCCTCGTTTCTTTTCCCCATTCTACACGTACAATGCATGTGAGTCATGTTTGTACCTCTCCACAAGATCCTGCTCCCTCTGCAAGGGACCGAAAGATCGTAATACAATACAATTCCACTGTTCTGTGATCACTGTGTCAGGCAGTCAAATGTACTCCACTCGATCGATCGATTCGCAGGAATATCGCCGAGGATTAGTATCAGATGCTTCCAGCCATGGTAATAACCTTCAAAATGACCACATTTGCAGCAACAGGTTGATCAATGCTGATCTGAATCTAGAGCGCGTTGATAAGAGATCGTACGGGGTGTTGTGTTTGTCGTTTTCGCTCGTTTGTAACCTGCGTATATGCGCCAATCACCACAGTAGTATTTCGAGGGGCGTCGTAGAAGGACTCCGATTATTGGCATTGAATGTTGTCCAGCGGGGAGCTTGTTTGCAGTTAGGCTCACAATGTACAATCCAGCTGTTTTAAAGCATGAACTTGAGCAATCACCAACATGTATTAGTTACAGAGCAATTTTTCACGAACTTGCTTGCAGGGGTTGGGGAGTTGCTGTCTACCATGTTTACAGAGGACAAGAAGTACATGGATAGTGCTAGTGCAGATCCAACACTTGAACACCTGAGCTTTTTTAATACAGAGATCATAATATTCGTTGCAGAAAACCAAAACCCCTTTCAGCAGAAATAATGCAAATGGTTTTGCCCCTTCTGCAGTTTTTTTCAGGTTACTGCCTTCCCCTTCTGTTTGCTCTTGCCAAGCTCCACAAGCATGGTCAGTAGAGCCTCACACATTTGGAAAGAATCAGGGTCGCTTGGATCCTTCTTCTTGGACGAGTAAACCATCCAGCCATGGTCGAGCTTCCTGTCTGGTCTAACAACAACAGAACCCGGAACTTCAGCATCACGGCAAGTCACCAATCCATCACTCTTCTCCCCATACCGAAGCTGTAAATGAAGTGCGCAAAGCGCCATTGCGCCAGATATTGGCATCACAACAGGCACCTGACGGCTCACTTGGACCAGATCATCAGACTCCCCGCTGGCATAGCTAGGAAGTGGGAGCCATGGAAGTTCCGCATGTGCTATCTGAGTCATCGTGGCAAGGACACCTGGAGCAATGCTTGCCTCGGAGTGGAAAGAAACAAGGGGGATTTCGTCAGGGAGATGATGGTTCATGATGAACTCTCTCCGCTTGTCGTATGTAAGGTCTTCCAGTGCTCGTATGTCGCCCTAAACAAAAGCAAATTGAAAACACTTTCATTTAGGGTAAACAGTTGTTTTAATAAAAAGAGATTTGGACAAGTGTGTATGTTTCAACTTTTGACCCAACTTTTATTACTAAGTTGATTGTTTCTTTAAGCAAAACAAACAAACCCGAAAGCTAGATATCACCAAAATCAAATTGAAAGCCGTTTCACATGGCCTTAACAAAGCAAAAGAAATCACCTTGATCAACTTGCAAATCAGGAATTCCATGATCCTCCTGGTTTCTCGGTCAGCAATCTGACCCTCACGAAGGATGTCTGAGGCGATGGGTGTCCCACCATAGGGACTCTGCACGAATGCAAGTCCAGCGACTTTGTCTTTCAAGTCGGACCAGTAGATTGACAATGCAGCTGCAGCATCAACTCCTCCTTTGCTGTGGCCCAGTAGCATCACACGCTTCCCTGAACCCCAGTATAGCTCATCGATGTACTGCTTTAGTTCCAATGCATTGTGCTCCACGGAAGCCTTTATAGCAAAGAGGATAATTTTCAGATCAGATGATTGAGAAACTATTCTAGATGTGAAAGGGAAAGAGTTGTATACCTCGCTGTGAATTTTGGCAATGTGACAAGCGAGACCCATCTTAGAAAAGAACCGCTTAGTGGCCACAAAATACAGGGGGCCATGGTTACTAAAAAGTCCTGAGAATGAAGAAAGTTAAAGTTCAGTAAAATGTTTTCATTTGTCACCTTGAAGTGAAAAGGTGAGAGTAGAAAGAGAGATCTCCCAATACCTGGTATCAATAGATACACGAAGGAATCAGGAAGCACATGCTCTCCATTCCTGAAGGATGAAATGGAACAGGTGAACCAACTTTATTCATGAAGAAAAGGACAAACAGACGAGCAAGAAGCGGATAGAACTACGAGTAGAAGCAGACACCTAACCAGCAAAGGGAATTGTCAAAAACAAGATGCAATGATCAACACTGACTTGCTGCACAAGTGTAAATTTCTTCACAACTCGTGACGAAAAGAATGATTTTCCATAACATGGAATAAATGCAGAGTTGCATAGCAGAAGGTTCAAAAAGAATGACACCATTGAGAAAAGTATAAGTATTGTAGCCAGCAAGAAATTGAGATCAAGAAACTTAAGTGAAATATTGACATAGTCAAAGTTGTCCAGCTTAACCAAAGGGGTACCTTATATTCTCGAGAAGCTCTAAGAACCTAGGAGTACCATCACTAACAGGAGGCATTCCAGGTGTATTTTGCAACCAGCCAATATCATCACTTGAACCATGCAATGTTTTGTACACTCGCGATGCGACACTGAGGGTGGAGAAACAGTAATGAGACTCAGTTAACAAGGATACAATTGGAAGCAGGCCAAATGACTCCCCAGAAACTCATCTAATGCAACTGAACCTACCAATTCAACAAAAAAACTAAATATTCTTCTTTCTTTACCTACGTACTCGAAGTTGACTGCGTCTGATACAGCGGAAAAAGTATCTCAAGGAGGGAAATGCCAACCGCCAAGCAAGTCTAAAACCAAATAATGGGATCATCAACCTGCACCAAGGGCAGTAAATACTTTAAAATGAGTCGTCAACATAAGAAGACATTATGCTAGAAGCACACACACTTTCATTCATCCTCCACAGTTAGTGATAGCCTGACCTTATCAACTAAATAAGAATTAACATAGAATGGTATAAGGTGGGACTACTTAGATTCTTCAGGGTCAAGCAAACGATCAGTAGGAGGCATGTCAGATAGAAAACTGAAAACAAGTGCAGTAATTTGGTTACACAAAAACTACTCCAATTAGGAAAATTGTACTATACCCCTTAATAATGAGGCAGATGTGTTGATGACTGTAACTTGTATCTACAACATCATATCTTGCATTTACATGTAATCCATCCCTGGCTTGCGAAGTTCTCCGACACGACGTTCCAGTGCATTTATCAGCCATACGGTAGTTAGAGAATGATGAGGAACAACCTCGCACGCAAGACTTACAGATGCCAGGGTTTGGAAAACTTGAATCCGGTTCAGGGTTACTAGTGAATAAATTATCCGAGAATTCAGCAACAACATCTCGGAGAATGAGACTCTCTGCAAGATGACTATGAGTCGTATCAAAACCTCACAGAATATCATGACGATCCTGAGCAACCAGATTTCCATAGCTATTGATGAAATTCCACATAGACGAGATTAAATTCAAGTACTCACCAATAAAACAAATCAATCTATGACTTATGTAACTACTTAATCTCAGAAGGCTGGTGAAAATATCGTCCTCTGAGGAGCGTGGTCCAATGGAACCACTACGAAAGATTCTCTTACCCTGTGCATCGTGGCAATCCTGACAAGAGAGGGGCAAAAAGACATTAGAGCTGAAAAAACAGTCTTTTACATCGAGCCGACAGAAATATGGTTACACAGTGTGAGTTGGTCCTGTATCCTCAACTATACATCCCTCTTTCAAAGAAAATGGATGGATGCTATGGTTATACAAGTATCCAGTCCTTGTTGAATCAGCAATCTGATGATTGCTTACATGGAGGACTTCAAGCAGAATCACCAGTCATGCTCATGTGAAAACCGCAAGTGGTAAAGTGTCGTTAGAAACATCCGCTAACCGAAGTTTAAATCAGGCGGCCAACATTCAACAATCCATGATCATGCACAGAGAAAAGAAACGAACACGGATGCTTTATAGACAACATTTTGTCTGCAAAAGATTTGGACTGGTTTCTTACCACATGTTCACTTTGGCACTCATGCCCTAGCAGTGGCTGATAGTCATGGAACGTATGCCTGTCCTGCTGTGTAACCAACACAAGGGCGAACCATAAAGTAGTTACTCGCCAGAACTATAAGGAAAATTTTGATATTGCTATGACAGAATAAATTCAGAGTTCACTCTGATGAAGAATAAACCACTTACAACAGAAGGGATTTCTACTATCTCTTCCTGAATTTTGGTTGTTTCTACTTCTCCATCAATACACAAATCTCCCATCGGATCTTCCTGATCCTGAGATAAGACAGCAGCTCCTTTAACAACAAGAAATTAGGGGCGGTTCAAGTTCCAGACACAATGTTGCAACATTCATATCCTTTCTATTTTCACTTATGTCCAAAGTGCCACAGATTTGCAAGCACAGATAATTTATGGACATCAAAAGAAGGCACCTTTTTCAGCTAAGCTTCAAAATATCAGCAAAGAATGGGCAATTGACTATCCTATTGCGAGTTCAGGAATTTGATTGCTTCTCAGACTAATGGAGAGAAACCACTAGCATTTCCACAATTCACCAATTCCCCCCAATAGAGAGGAAATAGAAACCAAGCATACCCATAAATCCAAAGTCTTAAGTAAAAGGGAAGCCGACACAAATGGGATTGCATCCACTGACAAGAACCCAGAAAAAGAAGAGCAGTGTTTGACTTACAAAGATGATGCAAGAGCAGAATGGACACCAAGCGATTGACAAGTACGGATCCAAATCTGCAGAACCAAACAAAGAGACAGAGCGCAGTGCTTTCCCAATCAAAACCCAGTCATCAAATATATATTTATATGGAGGAGGAAAGTAAAAGGGAGCAAACATCCATAAATGCACCTAATTTACCAGTTTTCGAGTAAAGAAATTCTAAGAAATGGGCAAAAGGAGAACACAACAAAGACGAAAACATAAAATAAAAAAAAACAAATAAAATATTATGTAGAGTTATGGGAATGGTAGCAACCGAACGAGAGGGAAAGTCATGGAATTGGAATGGATCGTTATCTTCCTCGCCCGGCCTTCAATAAGTAGTTGGCCATTGCCCCAGTCCTTGCCTCCTTGGACGACGTAAGCTCTCTGCCGCTGAATCACAATCTAAGATTTTGGAGCTTTTCTCTGAAAATTCGAAAGGTTTGGGAGTTAGCCACGACGAACGGAATTACGGTTGGAACTTGGGACTTGGGCTTCCTTCTTTTTCCTGAAAGAAAAGTAAAGATGGGTTCTTTTTTTTGAAAAAATTTACTGCCGGGACAGAGAAGGGCGTGAGTCGGATTCTGAAGAACAGTGAAAGATCGTCGTGAGGGTAAGTATGGAGGTGGTGAATGAATAAATTAGGGTTCTTTTTAGATATTACCCAGCCACGCAGATGGGTGATTAGCATTTAGCACAGACTCCAAGCTGAACCGTCAAGGAAATATCTATAGCTTAACACCGGTATCACCAAAGTGACTGACCAGGTTTCTTTTAATGGATTATATTGAGTTGTTGCATTAATAATTCGTCTCATATCCAATCAAACTCAAATATTATAAAGGAAGAGAAGAAAAAAACTCAAATCATAAGTTGTTGGTAGCTTGATTAGAGATCACACGGAGGCGCTCGATTGTGTTTGCACTTGGGTTAAACTTTGAGATATGCTCTATCGTTCGAGGAGGATTGAGAGTTGCGGTAGAAGGACTTCAATTGGTATATGATTTGGGACATTATAGAGTCGTGGTTTAGTTAGACTCTAATTGTGTAGTCCAACTTCTATAAAGGAGTGACGAGTCGGCATTCATTTATAAAATAAACAAGTAATGAGAATAGTGTTGGTCTGTATTTAACGTATCCAAATCGAAAACGACACAATTAAGTAAAAAACATATGCTTTAGAATCCTAATATGGGGTCAATAATATTTCCCGAGAATTACATAAACCTCTTGCATTTCATTTAGCGATGACAAAATATTCGTAACCGTGGATATCCGTCTGAATCCGGCCAAATCGGGTAGGGTAAAATCCGAACCCGAAGGATATTTAGTGGGTACGGGTAAAATCCGAACCCGAATATTGCGGGTAATGGTGGGCATGGGTTTCTCACTATCCAACCCGAACCCGGCCGATTATACACATGCATATGTATTTTGTCTAGAAATAATCATTATTTTTCTATAACATATTTTATATTTAGCATATAAATATAATATTTTCATGAAATTGTGTATTTTTAATTAATCTTCTTCATTCTAGTGAATTATTGTCGTATTTTTCCTCTTACGTAATGTGAGAATACGTGTGAATGTTAACATATTGGTTGGAGTTATGAAGAGAAATTATTACACATGGATAACCGTGGATACCCGAAACCCGAACGGGTGTAGACAAGATTTCGATTTTCTACCCGTTTTACATGTGGGTCAGTGGGTATGAGTATCAGTATGAGTTAAACCCGAACTACTATGAATAAAGTGACGGATATGCACTATTCGCGCTCGACCCGACCCATTGCCATCCCTATTTTCATTCAGGTTCATTCTTTTCTTCTCATACTCTATTGAGCGTCAGAGAAATTTTTTTATGTTTTGGGTGACAGATCATGGACACGTGGCGTAATGGGGTTCCAACCATGGGGTCGTGGATAGAAACTGAGAAACTGGAACTCGATCAGAAGGAAAAGTGTCACTGGCAATCCCACATTAGAATATTGATCATCTTTTCATCGAAGTAGTCGTTCACTTCAAGTTTCGAATCGTTTCTCATCAACCGAGGCTGCTTCAGTTCAGTTGGCCAATGCAAACTCAGAGCTCTGCAAAAGGAAACGAACCGCTTTGCCAAACTTGCAAGCCACCATCATTACAAGGAAAATGGCTGCTCTGCCACGACTTCCAGTTGAAGGCTCCTGAGTTCTCCTTTGTTCCATTACGCCAGTAACATTTTCTAACTCAAAAAAACCATCTTTATAAGTGGCTGATAAAGGAAAAGTAGTTAGAATTTGGACAAAGAAGAAGAAGAGCAACTTCTGCATTCATTCAACCTTATCAGTACAACAAACACTTTGCTCATTGCTCAACACTCTATTTGGCTGTTTACAGTACTACCAGCAGAATCAAAATCAATAGGGAGACAACAAAACAAAATTTCTATATAGCTATGTACACAGAAACGAATTCATTCATATGGATACCGAACCATCAACTCTTGTGCAGAAACTTATTTGGGAACCGAGAGAGTTTGAGATGCTTCACTTCCATCATCGTGGTTTTATCTGATAGACGCGGTTGTACCAGATCGAATGAAGGGTCATGTGAAAGAGATCATATTTCAAAGGCTTACCATGCCAAAGGAAATGCCTTTGAACCTTCCTGACCCCGAGCTGCAGCTCCACGTATCGCTTTGCTGGTATCGAAACCAAAATCTCCTTCAGATTAGGAATGTCCTTCTCCGGGAGTATAATCGAGAAGGCGTTCCAATTGAAGACCTCGAAAAGCGGTGGAATGAAATTGTCTGATATGATAACCGGCACACATTCATAGAAGATGGATTCCACGACTCGCGGGCTGTTAACCTCGTAGCCCTTGGGGCAGATACAGTACTTGCTCCTCTTCATGTGCTGGATGTAGTTCATTTTGCTTGCAACACCAGCAGGCATAGGACCAAGGATCTTCATGTCAGGGTCCTTGTCTTTCCACTGCTTGACTAGAATTGGACGAAGGTATCCATGCATGCCTCCGGCATAGAACGCAAGAATGTCCCTTTGGGAAGGAGGTTTCCCTCCCAGGTCACGGAGAGGATTTCTTGCTGATCTGACGTATGTCTCTGGAAGAGATACATCCCTCCCTAATTTGAAGCCTACGGTCACATCAGCATTGCAGAGGGCTTTAATACAATGTTCCATATGATGCCTTGTCTCGTATGGAGCCTGCAAGAATATTACAAACAATGGCATATATCAGCAATCCATGAAGTTACAGCTGATGAAGAAATAAGTTTGTACTAAAGTACGGAACAGACCCAATCATGGCAGGCAACAAGAAAATGGTCTGCTCCACCAGTGCGATTCCAGAAAGGATATTTAGCTGCAATCTTTTCTGCGTATTCCTTCAGATGCTGGCGTAGATTTGTCCTATTATGAGAGTTCCGTACGTAGAGAGTGTATTCCAGCATTCGGGAACTAAATGGCATATAGAACAGGTGAGCCTTTCGGGGGTCCTTCACGACAAATTGCTTGCTTCCCTGCATTAGTTTCATAAACCATCCCTCTGAAGCATACAATCCCTTCATTATTGGTAGATGAAAGATGGGTTTCTTTCCATCCTTGTATATATAGACTTTGAGTGTGCGTTCCATGAGCTCATAACTCCTAAAAATTTAGCAAAGAGGAAGTTCTAGATTACAGCTCGACTTAAGGGCTCCCAACAGTTTTCAGTTCCAGTGATAAGATTTCTCAAAAATTGACACCAATACGTTTTCGACTTGTCAGGTGAATCAGTGAGGCGGGAACAAAAGAGGTTGCCTAATAAAACTCGTCCAACACCTAGAAGTATGAACTGGCATGAGTATAGGATATGCCAAGTCATCCAACAACAACAGTATAAATGATTTAACCAATGTCACTTTTCAAAACCTAAATTTGACAAGAAAGGCCCATCCCAAACTTTCTAGTGCCAACTTTGGATGGATCAAAGCTTAATGTCATTGTCTCGTTGACGACAAAACTGCAGAATCAGCTTTTTAATATCCTAAATTTGGCAAAAAGGACCATGATCCCAAACGTTCTAGTGCCGACTTTGGATGGATCAGAGCGTAATATCTTAACCATAATAGCCTCATGCTCCATCTCATATCTAGCTATAGACTACAAAGATTCAGATGTGGAATCTGAATCCATACTGGTTTCGGACTCAAAAGTTGAGTATTAAATATTGACAACAAAACTACAGAATAAGCTTCACAGCAAGCAACAATTTGCAACGACAACGAGCCCAATGATTTTGAACTAGAGGATGAAAGGGAACATTTCTCATTCTTAATATCAGTTACTTTATAACCGAACCCATGTTATTGTTTTCAGTTTTATTTTCTAGTTTGTTGTCATCATCTTGTATCACTCACAGAACATCAGATCAGGGAAACTTTTCATAGTGACAATTCCAGGAACAAACTAGCAATCTGTACCTCAATGTAGGTGGTTACCTTTTGAACTGTGACACATTTCTGAAGAGTGGAGCATAAAGATCTCGATCATTCACCACAGCAGGTGCATTTTCAATCTGCCACCTTGCAGCCAAAATCTCCCGATCTCGTTTTGAGGACCATCTCGGTCTCTACAAGGAAATTTTCAACTGGTCTAAATATGCTGAATTCAAAATGAAGAGACTACTGAAGATTTTATGCCTAGCAAGTAAGGTTCATACCATTGCCCGTGAAGAGCGGCGATTTCTTGCCAACAAACGGTTCATCTCATCAATTGTTGTAATTGACATTGGTGGCATCTCAGCCCTAATCTTCTTCTTCACAGGGTTACTAACTCCAGCAGAATAATTCCTTGAAGTGGTAAAAACAACTTTTTCTTTCAAAGGGTTAGCACTTGTTGTTGGAGCTACAGCTCGAGACAAAACTAGAGGGGCCTCACTGTTCTTGCTAGTCACATTTTGCACAGAAGGAAGCTCCTTTTTGGCTTCACTGGGCAACTCCAAAACAGAATCTTTTTCTTGAGTAACCTCATTTCCATCCACTACATTCTCCAACCGAACATCAACGTCGTCGTCGTCGTCATCATCATCATCAACCACATCTCTATCAACAGCAAGTTCATCAGTATCATCATCCAAGTTTTCTTCTTCCGATGCTAAACCGTTCTCTGTATCTCCACCATGCCCTTTCACTTCACTATGACTAATATCTCCCATACCATCAGATTTAGTCTCATTTTGGACAACAAGACCAATCTTCAACTCACTTACATCAACTGCTAAAGCATTTCGAGCCACTCCAGACTTAATGGCAGATTGCCCAATCCCGAAAACCCTGCTTTCATCAAACACGGGATCACGGGCTGTGGGTAGAAGAGTCCGAATGGTGTACCCATATGGAAAAAATAGGGACTGAACCAGCAAGTGGGCAATGACGACTGCGCCAACAAGAATGAGCCATTTTCTCGACACCATTTGACAGAACTTACGAAGTCGATAGGAGAACTCCACACCAGATTCCGACTGGCCAGTACTTGAAACTTAAAGTAACAACTTCTTATAGCTTACACAAATGCTGCACAATCATTGCAATAACCAGAATCCAGCTACAGAATCGAGAAGAGGTGTTAAATTCGTTATACCAGAGAAAACAAGAAACTTTTAAATGTCAAAGCAACCGTAGTGGGATCAGAATTCAGGACTCAGTCATCGCCCCGCCAGAACAAGAACCCATTATGCATTTAGTAACCGACAAACGGAAGAGGACAGATTCAGCAATCCTAGAACAGTGCACTACCAAGTAAAGAACGAGTGGCAAAAACTCAAACATTCCAATCCCCAGTTCATTCAAAGTTAAGAAGAAAAGAAAGAGTACAAACCCTAATCTGAGTATGCAGCTGCATGTTCAGCGGGACAAGGCAAGAGCTTTTTTCAGCAGAGAAAGATGCTTCCTTTCACCAAGTAATCGACAAACCCACTTCCCGTTTCTTCTTTCTTCCTCCCCCTACGGCGAGATCAACGTCAGAGTTCAGCCAAAGCGCTTTCCGGCTATTGTCTTTAAGGAGTTAAAGTGAAAATGTTTCGCTTTGATATTTGGGGTACTTCCTATTAGATTCTCGAAACTATTTTCTAGTTTGCATTGCAATGACGAAGCAGAAGCAGACGTCACTAGTGCAAATTAACTACACCGTGACAGGATTCATCCAACGAAGAGAAGTTTGTACCTAGATGATTTATGATGTTTCTTTGGACAAAAATAAAGGTAATTATAAAAAAAAATGGTCACACACCTTTTCATTTTTATAAAACAGTTTGACAACTTTTATTATATGTTTCGATGAAACATATTTGAGCGAATAACAAACAATCATTTTTTCATCTTCATTTAAAATTCTGTTAAATTTTCCAGTCAGCATGCCACACACAAAAAGTATTAATAAATTCATTGAACCAACTGGATTAAACTTGTAGTGTGTTTTAGTAAATTTGTGGTATTCTTTATGAGTTTTATGGTATGAAGTTGTGGTATGTTTTAGTGAACCTGTTGTATACCGTTGTAATATGTTTTATGAGGTTTTTGATATATTTTAGGAAACTTGTGATCTATTTTTCTTTTGTGTAGAAGTGTGTTTTAAGAATTTGTGGTCTGCATTGATAAACTTGTGGTATGCTTTATAAGTTTTTTTTTGTGTGTTTCAGGAAACTTATGATCTGGTTTATGAGATTTCTAGTATGCTTCAAGACACTTGTGCTCTGTTTTAAGAAACTTGTAACCTGATTTTTTTTTTAAAAGTGTATTTTACAAAACTTGTACTATGTTTTAGTAAACTAGTGGTTTGCTTTACTTGTGGTTACACATGCAAATTGTAATTTGTACTTAAACTATATATTAATATTTAGTACCTAATTTTTTTCATACAAACCCTATAAATATTTATGGAAATTTATCTTTTAGTACCGTAAAATTTTATGTCTTACATTTTCTACATGTTTACAATTTACAAAAAGATCCACATGCATGTGCCCATTAATACCTTTTTCAACTCATCCATATCTATCTAACCCCACTCAAAATCGAAAGACCAATTCGCACAAATCCAGGGTAATACTCTCAACTCTCAACCCAGACCTTATCCATCCCCGATTCCAGTTAACTGAATTCGGCCGGCGGGTATGAGCAAAATCAGGAGGAGCTGCAGCGCCGGCGAGGGGAATTCGACATCCATCACCGATCTCCCGCAGACCGTACTGATCGGCATCATCAGCCGGGTGCCGTTGCGATGCGCCAAGAGATGCAGCGCCGTCTGCAAAACCTGGTACAAGCTGCTCGTGAAGGACGAGGCAACATCGAACTACCTGCAGCACTGGTACGGCGGCGGGGACGATCAGACGAGCAGTCGACGTAATAGCAGCAGCTTCGCTCTGTTGACCAACATGACGACGTCGTTCCCCGGCTGCAGCAACCGTCTGTGGAGTTGGGTGGTGGCTGCGGCGTACTCTTCGGCGGAGGAAGATACGGTGGGAATATGGCCCAGATTGATGCTCCGCCCTTGCAACGACGACGACAATGAGCAGCGTTTTCGATATAGCAACGAAGTCAGAGGCGGCAGCGACCAGAGGATGGAAGTGGTTGCTTGCTGCAACGACGTTCTATTGTGCGAGGAGTGGCGCTCTGCGGCGAATGATTCCGCTGCTTACTGCGTCTGGGAGCCTGTCAGCGGGGAACATAACTGGGTTCCACTCCCTGTAATCAATCATGATCGTAACAGCGAGCAGAGAAGAAGATTGCTGTATGGTCTTGCTAGCGAACCGGATGGCAGCTTTACCGTGATCCGTATTACAGCATCTGAGCGGCCGAGTGGTTGTGTGTTGATGCACACTTTCAGTAACCGGAGCAGGGAGGATTCATGGGCATGGAAGGAACACCATGTGGATTGGCCAGCAGGGCAGGAGTTTCTGTGGGAGGAGCATTATCCCCAAGGAGTTATGTACAAGGGATTCATGTTCTGGCTAGGGGCGAAACACGCTCTCTTCGGAGTTGATCTTGATCCCCGTCGTCATCCTCATCATCATCCGGTGCTTATTACTTTGCATCCGGAATTTCGATACATTGGCAATGAATGCTTGGGAGTATGCAGAGGAAGCTTGACGATTGTTCAAATGTCAGACAACCCATCACCCCTCGCTGCTGCCTATGTTGCCATTTGGATTCTGAATCATGGCAGCAGCAGCAGCAGAAGCGGGAATAGTGTTGATGAATTCTGCAATTGGTCGCTACATAAGAGGGTTTCTCTGCAGCAGGTCATCGGTTCTGCAGATCCATTTCGACGGCCCCCAACCTCTGATCTCAGTGGTGATGCTTCGCTGCCGCGGATGGGGCGTCTGAAGCTTCTTGGCAGGCATCCGTATGAACTTGACATAGTGTATTTCAGAGTTTGGAGGACTGTCTTCTCTTTGGACCTTTCCTCCAAGGGGGCTCCCCTGCGGCGGCTGTTTGTGTACCCTTTAGACACATATCCTCTAAACACATCCATGGGACTGCCTGTAAATAGTTTCACTTTCATACCCCAATGGCGAACCACTCCTATCCGCACTTTCGCCGTTGATTCCTTGTTTATTAATTACTTGGAATGTATGTAAACCAACTTACAGCAATGGAACCATGCCTGCAGCAGCAAAGAAACGAAAAAGTTCCAAATTTATATCATCTTCTTTGAGTCTTACATTATTGTCATGCATGGTTGTGCTTGTTGCTCTGGATCCATACCCAGGAGCCCTAGTCCTTGCTCCTACATTTCTTAGTTATTTCCTTAGCTAAATGGCCACTTCAGAGATTCAATCAACTATTGCTGAATCAAATTACAACTGATCACAACTCCCTAGATATGAAGATTGCGTACCTGAAATCTGTATTTTTCCGCCACGTTATGACGCTCCCCCTACCAGCATCATCACCATGAACATTTCAGACGACAATCATAACCTCTGGAGTGAAGAGCGAGGAGCACGCTCTTCCAACTAGGGTTGTACACATGTGCCATGCTTGTTCTGCCACTGGAGGCAATCAAATTCTCCAGTAGGTTCAGACTAAAACTCGTCTCGCAAATCGGTAAGTGGAAGAGAGCACTGCAATTATCATCGCTCAGTAAACCACGGGTTTTACTGTTTCAGAGGAATCGATCACCAGCTCAGCAACTGGCCGTCCCCTCAACCCAACAGCAGACTTGTTCTTCCCTGCTCTCTGCTTGGCGCTTGCTGTCAATCATTCACACATGGAGATAGGAATGCACTAGGCTGTTGCTCGCTCTCGTCTGTTACATCTTCATAACTAATGACAGCACACATCTCTCTGTTTCCTCTTTCCATACATCTCTTCTTCTTTGTGGCTTTATGCCTCTTTTGGTGCATGTTACTGTGAAGAACTTTCAAGTAAAAGAAAGACGCAACACTTCATTCCAGATAAACTACACTGGTTTGTTCTACTTCATAAGAGGAGTCACTAGATGCTGTGACAGGCAGCCTCCTAATGATCACGAAGGTCCTCGCGTTGATGTTGCTCCTTCTAGTTCCCAAACACTCGGTTGTGCCAAACCGAGTGAAGGATCATGTGAAACAAGTCATACCTTAGAGGGGCTTTGTGCCACAGGAAATGTTGCTGCACCATCCTCACACTTGACTGCATTGCCACATACTTATCCTCCGGAATTTCCACCAGAATCTCCCTCAACCTTGGAATGTCTTTCTCCGCAACAAACACCGCGAATTCCTCCCAGTTCAGTACCTCGAAGAACGGAGGCACGTAGTTGTCCGAGATGATGACTGGGACGCACTCGTAGTAGATGGCTTCAACTATTCTAGGCGTGTGAACTTCATAACCTTTGGCACAGATGCAGTACTTGCTGCTCTTCATGTACTCCCTGTAGATTCTCTTGCTCTCAACATCCCTCAGCATAGGACCCAAGATCTTCATGTCGGGGTCTTTGCTCGCCTCCCAGTGCTGCAGCAGCACAGGCCGGAGGGAACCATGTTTTCCTCCAGCGAAAAATGCAAGGATGTGTCTCTCTGATGGAGGTTTCCCCCCAATGTCCTGCAGAGGTCTCTCCTGTGAACGTATGCTTGTCACTGGCAGTGTTGTGTCTTTTCCTATTTTAAAGCCCTTGGCCACATTAGCATTGCAGAGTGCTCTGATGCAATTGCTCATCATGTGATTGCTTGTCAACTTTGGTGCCTGAAATCCCATGTTCCAAAATGAGGGACTTCGAAACAATGGGCAGAAATTGAACAAAGATAATTAAAATTAACAGAAAAGAATACCCAGTCATGGCACCCGGCAATGAAATGATCAGCTCCACTGCTTCTATTCCAGAAGCTGTACTTGTGTGAAATGTGATTCACATAGCTCTTCAAGTGTTCTTCAAGTTCCTTCACGGACTGAAAGCTTTTCCTGTATAGTTCTTTCCTCAACATCTCTGAACTAAAAGGTATGTAGAACAGATGAGCTTTCCTGGGGTCTCTCACACCAAACTTCTTACTCTCCTTCATCAGTTTCATAAACCATCCTTCTGAAGCATATATCCCCCTCATCCTTGACTGATGAAACACCGGCTTCTCACCTTCCTTATAGATATAAACTTTCAGCATTCGCTCCATCAGCTCGTAGCTCCTTCAAAATGGTAGCGTGGCATCATCAGTCAACTAAGAGGCAGTTTCGTTTCACATGGAAGAAGATAATACAAAGCATATATAAGCTTTTCAAACCAAAAAAGAGAGGCATACATAGCTATATATACCGTTTAAATCTGGAGACATTCCAGAAGCTAGAAGCATGAAGACCAGGAGTATTCTTCACAATAGGAGCATTTACTATCTGCAGTTTGGCAGAGAGGAGTTCACGATCACGTGCAGAAGGCCGCTGCGGTCTCTGTGAATTCGAAGAAGTTAGCAAGTCCCGTATCAGACATCATCCATTACCCTAAACAAGAACCTAGAGATAAAATCAATTGCTTTACCTTAGAAATAGCTGAAACAAGATTGTGATGCAACTGTGAGTTCATCTGGGAAATTGTTGTTGGATGCTTCTTCCTTCCCAACCTCTTGGATAAGGATAGACTCCCCTTCTCAGGATTCTTGCTCAATGCCATAGAAACAATCTGCAGAGGCTCCCTATTCTTGGGTTCCAATTCAATAGCTTCTTCAACAGCAGGTGGCCTGCTTCGATCTCGAAATTCCATATTCGAGATTGATTCAATATCATCTCCAAAATCCTCATCATTGGATGATGCTAATACAGAAGTATTTCCCACCAAGTTGAACTTCTGAATCTCACCCAACTTCGAATCATCTGAAATCCCAGGGTTATTGATTGGACTAACCAAGAAAGAGGAGGAAGCCTCAGGAGCTTCTTCTAGTAATGGAGGCCATGAGGATGTTCTCCCAATCCCATAGGAAATTGAAGAGCATTGAACAATAACAACAATAGCAAGGGCAAAGACTGCCATGGCGATGACTATCAGAAACCTCCAACTTCTTCTGCCGACATGGGATCTCTGAATCATTGCAGCCATAGCTGTAGCCATACCCAAGTTCTTCAAGAGATGGGTTGCTCAGCAGCTCGGGCACATAACAACGAACGAAAGGAACCCTTAAAATAACTCTTAAGAGTGTACCTTCAATGGCTTTCCATGGCCGAAGACGGAGCTCAAAATCGCTTACCCACCAAGCTTTTTCACTCAATTCAGTCCAGTCTCAGCTGCTACTGTCAATCGTGTCCCGAAAAGCAGCAAACTTTTATCTTTCTCGACCTCACTGTTCAACAATATTACAAGCAGAAAGCGCCAAAACAGCAGCCTCGGTTTAAAACCACGTCGTATTATTGAATGGCCGCTTCCCTTCCAAAATATCCATTTCCTGCTGAGAAGAAATGAAGAAGATCGCCCTTGTGTAAGCTGTTCTCCTTTCCCTGACAGTAAAGGAATGGCCTTCGAGCTCACAATCTGCTGCTAATGGGGTCAGCTTCGCTTGCTACAGCTATGGCGCTGAAACTGCTTCAAATCCCGTTTCCGATTTCAGCTCCGCCGGCGTCGAACCCGTCTTTAAACCCAAACCCGGCATCGTCCACGCCCCACCACCGCCCTTCCACGGAGCTCCGCTTCTCCCGGTGGAACAACGCGAACGCTCGAGAATTCGAGGAGCGCCGGCGCTCGGTGAAGGAAATCGAGGACGACATCCGCCGCGCCCGTCGCTTCAATTCCGCCGACAACATCGTCGACACTTACGACCCGACTGCCGCAGCCCGCGCCGGACCTAATGCCGGGAGCAATTTCAGGTCCACGGGGACGCCTTCGTCGCCCTCAAGGTCGTCGATACCCGGTCGGAGATCCAAATACTCCAAACCCGAAGATCCGAAGACCGCTCAACACCCGGCTTTCCGCCGGGTTGCGAAGGTCTCCAAACGGCCGCAACCCGTCGACCGGAAGGCCGACGTCAAGCTCAGCGAAGATGGGCTGTCTTACGTTATCGACGGCGCGCCGTTCGAGTTCAAGTACAGCTACACGGAGGCGCCGAAGACGAAGCCGCTGAAGTTACGGGAGCCTCCGTTCTCGCCGTTTGGGCCGGTCACGATGCCTCGGCCGTGGACCGGAAGAGCGCCGCTGCCGCCAAGTAAGAAGAAGTTGAAGGAATTCGATTCGTTTCAGCCGCCGCCGCCGGGTAAGAAAGGGATAAAGTCGGTTCAAGCACCCGGCCCGTTTCAGCCCGGGACGGGTCCTAGGTATGTGAATACACGGGATGAGATATTGGGGGAGCCATTGACGAAGGAGGAGATTAAGGCTTTGGTTGAAGGTTGCATCAAGGCGAAGCGGCAATTGAATATGGGTAAGCTAAGCTTCATGCTGTCCTCCAAGTGTTTAATAAAATGCCCCGCAGAGAACTGATAGCCAGTCGTCGTCCTTCTCTTTGTTATCAGGAAGAGATGGTCTTACACACAACATGCTTGACAACATACATGCTCACTGGAAGCGCCGGAGGGTCTGCAAGGTCAAATGCAAAGGAGTTTGCACTGTTGATTTGGACAATGTCTGCGAAGAACTCGAGGTGGGTCTTCTTCAAACTTTCGGAGTAGGATCAACGTTAAGGTGATAGATAGTTTGTGCTTAGTTGTGCTTGATTATGTGACAGGAAAGGACTGGAGGGAAGATCATATACAAGAAAGGAGGAGTGCTGTATCTTTTCAGAGGCAGAAACTATAACTACAGAACTCGACCACACTTCCCACTCATGTTGTGGAAGCCACACGCTCCTGTGTATCCAAGGCTGATCCAACAAACTCCAGATGGCCTAACACTAGATGAAGCCTCCGAGATGCGCAAAAAAGGCCGGAATTTGGTACCCATTTGCAAACTAGGTAAAAAGCTAACAACTGCTATCATATAAGATATAAGTAGGACAGTTCAAGTTATTGCTGAATGTCTGCAAATTATATTTGCTCACTTGCAGGGAAAAATGGTGTGTATGCTAAGCTGGCTGATAACGTCAGGGAAGCATTTGAAGAGTGTGAATTGGTCAGAATCAATTGTCAAGGGATGAATGGAAGCGACTTCAGGAAAATTGGCGCCAAGTTAAGGGTATGTCAAGCATCTTGTAATGTGGGTTTGTTGCCAACTGGCTCGATTTCGATGGGTATTGGAAGTAATTGCCCTGTATTTGTGAATTTTGCAGGACATCGTTCCATGTGTGTTGATTTCATTTGAAAGTGAGCATATTCTTATGTGGAGGGGAAGGGACTGGAAGTCCTCCCTCACTAAACCAACTCGTACGATTGAGCAAAACGAAGGTTCATCTTCTGTTATGCCAGAACTAGAAGACTTGGAAGTACTGCAAATGAATAGCACCTCTCAATTGGAATCCACAGAGAGCCCTAACTTGTCTCTCATAGCATCTGAAGAACAAGCAGAAATTACTTCTAGTGCAGAAACTTTTGTGCCATTAATTGCTGGCAGTTCTGTTGCCACGGAATCCGAAGCTACAACAATCCACACCAACAGTCACGAAACGTCGTCAGGGATCAAGATTTCTGCAGATGTGCAAGTTTATGAAAGCGAAACCACTTCACTTGATCCAAAGAGTGATACAGACAATGAAGAGAAAACTATGATTGCTCAACATACCATAGAAGCAGCATTGACTGATGATACCATCCATGGAAATGAAGTACCAAATCAAGAAAGCTTGGAACAAGGCATCTCAGAAGAAACCATCCACCACCATCCCAGTGAACCGACGAGCTTGAGCTTGCCGTGCCTACAGGGAGTTGTACGTCTACTGAACCAAGCAGTTGAAAACGAAGCAGCAATTTCGTTGGACAGCAAGGAGTTGGATGCTGACAACGTCTACAAGAGAACGGTTGCCTTCTCCCGGTCAGCTCCACCGGGTCCTGTGTTCCAGTACAGGCGGCGGAGGAGGAAGGAAGAAGTGGAGCCGACGGAGGACAATGCAGAGAATGAAGAAAGGTCGGATGATTCAGAGGCTGTAGAATTTGCTCCACCAGCAGTTTTTGTGAAGAGAGGAGGGATTGAGAGGAAAAGTTCAGGACTTGGGAGAAGAAGGAAAGGAATGGATGAACAGTTTGAGTTAGTGGGTGGTGCTGTTCAGGGAAGCTTGGGGGTTGATGAACTTGCTCGGCTGCTAGCATAATAAGAGCTTTCTTGGGTTCCAAGTTTATGTGTCTGTACTGTACTACAATTCTGGTTGAATTAAAAAGAGAAATCCATGGAAATTATTCAATATCTATTCTTTTGTAGTAAAATTATCCGAAATTTCCACACACAAAAAAAAATATATATACAGAAAAGAACTCGAGAAAGAGATTCATAGCTAGGTTAAGGTACCGTGCAGGAAGATCCGAGATGAACACGTCCTCGTGGCAAAGCCAACAGTTAAGTGAAATGGTGTTCTTTCGTATAATACAAATACTTAAAATATGTGGTTGAAAAATTTTAATATTCGAATTTTCAAATAAAAGTTTGATAAATACCGGTTTCGTTCTAATAAACAATCATGACGTGTTTTTATTTGTTTAATAAAAATGGTAAAATACAATTTACTTTTGTACACTTGAGTAAGTTTTTGTCGTGTATCACTCTAGACAAATAGTCGACAAATCACAAATAAACAAGCTATTTGACTTGAAATTTAGGCGGAGACTGTTATAAGATGGATATGCGTAAAATTTGTAAAGATATTGGCGGGGATAATGCGTAATTAATTTTGGGTCCTCCCCCTCATACCCGCTCCATCAAAGTTATTTCTATGCATAAAAAAAATTCATTGTGTTCGTTATGTGATTTGTCAATGGAAATAGGATAATTGAAGAGTAAAATATCGACTTATATTTCATTAGCCACGTGCACTCATATATACCAAACGAGTGATAGGAGTTTGCACTATGGTTGTATGCACCTTTGTTGGCTTCATGGTTTATTAGATCCATTTAACGATTGAGCATATGGAGCGATTATCCGAAAACCGGCAACTACCAACTTGTTATTATGAAATCGTTGTTTTAGCAATGTATTTCACCTTAATTGCCTCATTTATGGCTAAACTAGTATTAAAAGACAATGTGATAATATGATCACATACTTTTACTTCCGGCAAACAAAAAACCCGAAGTGGATAAGTAATTCTCAAAAAGTGATTTTGATAATAACTTAATATAATTCCTCATCGCCCCCTCATTAGCTCATTACAATGTATTTGTTTTGATGTAAATTCCATTGATATCAATCGATGATCCATGTCATATTCGACCAAATTCCAACAATATAAGCCATCTAATATTGTTTGCATGGACAAATCAATCGACTCTACATTCAGGGGTGGACCCACGAATGTAAAATTTGGAAAACGATTATCAATTTTGAATGTATAAAGGGCACGTAATGCAATATAAACGCGTGACATTGTTATTAACAAATATATTTTCGATTAGACTATAACTCTGTATACAAAACATAAATATAACCACAAATCCTTCTTCCTTAACCGATGAACTCCAAATCTTACCTCAAATCACCCTAAATAAAATTTATTAAACTCTTCTTAAATTAAATATATATATTTAGTGAACTGTCATGACATCCACCCCACCAATCAGATTATAACACGTAACTTTGCACAGTTTCGGTACAACTACACTATTAACACTTACCATATATATATTTATTTTATTTCCCTATTTAAAACATCACAATATAAATTCCCCGCTCCGCCTAAACCTCCGCTGCGCTCCCGCCTTCTTCCCCAAGTAATCAAAACCCTTATAACACCACCAAAAAAAGAAGACTGAAAAAAAAAATTGAAATCAATGGACGACGAATCCGCCGCCGACGCCATGGCCGCCGCGGCGGCCAAGGCCCACCAGGACAACAGAGAACTCTGCACAGCCGCCCTCCAGCTCGCCACCCTAATGTACACAACCCCCGACCCCGAAACCCTAGCCACCCTCCAGCAGATGAAGCGAAATTTCCTCTCCCCTGCCAATCCCCTGCCTCCGAATCGCCGCCGCGGCGGCAGAGCGGAGGATTTCCCCGCCGCCCCAATTAAATTCCCCTCCGCCTACCCAATCGACGACGCCCAGATCAAGATGCTCCTCCGCGACCAGCCCCCCCGGCCGCCGATCCGGGGGCTGGAAACCCTAATCGGACAATGCACGCCGCCGGAGGTGAAGCAGCTGACGGAGAGCGACATCAAGGACAGCCAGGCGAGGCTATCCCTGCCGAAGCCCTACGGCAGGGAGAGCATCAAGCCCTTGCTGACCCCTGACGAGGACGTCGAGAAGGGGATTCCGGTCACGGCGTACGACGCCGACGGGGAAAGGTTCGAGATGAAGCTGAAGCTCTGGGCCAATCGGAAGGTCTACGTGCTGACGAGCGGGTGGAAGCCGTTCGCCAAGGCTCACGGGCTGCGCCACCACGAGGATTTCGTCACCATTTGGGTTTTCCGGAAGCTGGACACGGGGAATTTGTGCGTCGCTATAACTTCGCGGCGGCTGCCGGTGTACTGGGCGCTGAAGCGGAGCCGGCCGCCGGCGATACAATGAAAAGGGTTCCGGTTAGTGTTCTTCTTTTTTATTTGGGGGTTTGTTGCCGTCGTAGGTTTAGTGGCGGCGGGTTCTGCTGTGGAAAAAAAAAATTGTGGATATAGGTTAATTTTCTCAGAGCAGTGTGTATATAGTTAAAAGGGATTGTTTCGTCGGCCAGGCTCTTTGCTCTTTGGTAAAGATTCGAGGATTTGGGAGAACTTTGTTTGCCATGAGTTTTTCCAGGATTCTTGTGTTCTAATATGATCAATCTTTCGGGTACAGGAAATGTTCTGTATTATTGGTTAAATATTCCCAAAGTATTCGAGTTGTGGATCGTTACAGGTGGGTGATTGTTGTGAGTGGATTTGGATCGGTGAATTCTTTTCACTACTACTTATTCAAGTGAGTAATGACCGCCGGGTGGATCGCGGGTGGGTCGCATGAATAAATGACAACACGCTTTCACATTATGAATGACTGTTTTTTTGTTTTTGTTTATAGTATCGAATAGTTATCATATTTCATAATCTTACCACATATTGATCATTGGCTTCTAAAGGCAGAACATATATAACATTTTTGGACGATAACTATTGATTATTGACTTACTATGTTGTGTCTATTAGATAATAAACTATTAATTGTATAAAAATTGCCAAAAAAACTCAAATTTTCTATACAAAATTGGTTGATAAGAGTAATGAAAGATTTGATGATACCACTATCAAATAAGTGAAACACACATATGTGGTTAATGACTTTATTTTCTCTCAACGAATATTTCATTTAAAGTGATCAAATGAAAAGTTTGTATCGGTAAAAAAAAACTTTGCATATCACAATTTCTAGAAGGATCTATTTGAGACAAAATTGAAGTTGTCTAAATTGCTAGTCTTTCTAATTTGCGAAAAACTTATTATAAATGTTAGTCAACATGTTCTAATGACTAGTCTGAGAATAGTTTATTTTTATTAAATCGCAACTCAATCATGCCCACCCGGTACCATCCAACCAAAAGAGGAATATTGGAGGATAACGAATCGCAATTAAATAAATTGACTTATCACTCAATTTGACACCAAAATGCTTAAAAAATAAGAATCTACTTCAACCAATAAGCCCTTAAGCACGACCATAAATTGACTTATCACTCAATTTGACACCAAAATGCATAAAAAAGAAGAATCTACTTCAACCAATAAGCCCTTAAGCACGACCATACATAATATAGAAATCACACTTAGAAATGATAGCCAATTAGCTAGAGTTGCAGGTGCTACATCGAAACTTATTGCAAAAGAGGGTAAATCAGCTACATTAAAATTAATTTACGAGAAGGTGCGTTTAATATCCAAAAACTGCTCAGCAAACTCATCCATTGTCCACCCTTAGTCCCCCATTACCCACCCCTGGTCACGATTGCTTGGCGAGCATAAACGGAATCATATGAGCGAGTTAGCCCAAATGATAACTAGAGGTCAACCGCAATAGATGATACAAACAAAGAAGCCCTAGAGCTGAGCAAATTGCTTCTGTCTCGAATTCCTGATAACAAGTAACAACTATTCAAATTCCACAATCCATCTTCGTTCTATTCTGAAATGAGCACAGTAAGATTGAGAGGGCACTTGCTACAGAAGTGAAAAGTTCGCAACACAAGCGCCCAGATTACGTCTAATACATTGGAGGAAATGTTTGCAGGCTCGAGCTTCGTTTAAAGAAAGAAGTTACTCCACTTCCGCAAGATAATCATCGATCTCGGCTGGAGTCAGAACCCTGCAACAAGTAGTAACAGTTTCAATGTAAGCTTCGCGGTCCATGTCACCGGTATACTACTACTACTACTACAACCATCCCAAGTTTCAAGCTTTGGTGTAAAGAAATAAACACTATGAGCATGCTTACTTGAATATCCTTTTTGGTCCGATGGTGGCAATCTCGATGTTCTTTCCTGAGATCTGTCCCTCAAAACTGCCCAAAGGAACAGCCATTTGAATGGAAGTTCAACCAGAAGATCCACACAAAAAAAGTAATCGACAACAGCCCAAAATCCCCATTCCCATCCCCAACATTAGTAGTGTGATCCTGGTGACAAATATTACTACTATATTAAACGATAGGGGCAAAGTTGAAGAGAAAGTATGGCTTACCCTTCCTTCAAAGTTAAAATAGCAGTGTGTATAGCATCTTCGAGCTCCACATCGTCAGTATACCTACCATAGATAAACAAAATTTGTGAGAGACAATATTGTAAATGACAGGAAATCTAATCAACAGACAAGTGTGCAGGGTATCTAGATTGCCATAACAAGACCAAAGCGTAGCTTAGTAAGAACAGATAAACAGCTCGAGGCAACAGCAGCATTGTAAATTTAACAGCATGCTTGGCCTCCAAGTTTCGATACAAATGAAATAATCTGAACACAGTGAGAGAGATCCTCTATTCGCTTTGCAAGGTCTGTGAGCCCAGCTCAAATGACAACCAAACCGCCATGAACAATAGGCAAATACAATGATAATATAACCACATAAAACAAGTACCTCTTCTCAAGGAATGTTTTCGCGTTTGAGACATTCTTCCCCATTGCTGAGGCTTTCCATGAGAAATAGGAACCTGAAGGATCCACCTGACAAATAAACGATAAATAATAAATGTAAACAAACTCATAACTCCAAATCCCACAAAAAAATTTGAAGGATTAGAGAATAATAGTATTGAAAAAAAGAGAGTCTATCAAGTTCTTCAACACAGAGGAGGTCATGATAATCTGTTACGAAATTGCCAAATGTTTTGAATAGAGGAAGAGTGATGCATGTCCAAAGGCCAAATAGTAATCACGGTCATCTTCTATCCAATGACAAAGAGAACACATCACATAAATTTCTCAGAATCATGTTGCAGGGTGGATTTACCTGATACAGTTGTGGACCTTTGTCATCATAACCAGCAACCAGGAGAGATACACCAAAAGGTCTCACCCCTCTGAATAGAAGACAAATAAGTTCTCGAGTCAAACACATAAGGAATATAAAAGAGCAAACATTGATAGAAGTTCCAAAAATGTGATCGGAAGATGATCAATGCACTCCAAAACTGAGGAAAAGCTGAACTTTCAACAATAAGCAACATATAGCATGTTTATGCTCCTTTCCAAATAGCCCATGTTGGTCCAAAGGCTCTCCATTATTTCCTTTTTCAAAAGTTAGTTTCTACACCCATTCTCTGAGGTGTGGGGCATATTGTTGAAAGAATCAGATGCCTGAAAATCAATCATTTTGCCATTATGTACACCGTGAGCCCAGTTAAGTGTAATTACCCAGATTGAGTGAACTCCTGCATGACAGCAGCAGTTTCCCTCACAAGTTGTGTGACGGGGATTTGTTCCTACAACCACAAACAATCGTACATATCTTCAATGAAGCACCAAGGAACACAAGTAAATTGGCTCATATATATCATTACGAGAAAGTTGCACGACAACCTCTAGCACAACAAAAATGGCCAACAATTCTCCATCGTAAAGTGAAGTCAGGTTTAGAATTGAACCACAAAGATAAAGACCTGCAAATGCTATAACCAATCTAACACCAGAATCTCCTTAAAGCCTGAGCATGAAAAGTCCATATCCTCATTGATTTTAGGCCATCACAATGTCCAAAGAATCGTATATTCAATGTAAACAGACCAAGTATTTTACGCTACATCAGTCGGGAAGGGAAAACGTTCATGACTCAGCAAAAAATTATTCATTGTACGAAGAACTGGAACCTGTTCGAACGCACGAGAAAATTGATATTCAGGATTCTTGTTTTAACTTGTAGCTAGTACCTTGTATAACATGTGATATTGTTCAGCCTGCTTCCTGCTTTTCCGAACCAAAACTCGAAAATCAGGACCCATGCCACTGCAGAGGAAACAAGATTGTTGGGAGACTATAGCAAGAGTGAAACAGAATTACTATAAAAGTCCATTAACTTCTGCGGCTAAAATTTCAAGACTAGGTAATCTAAAGAATGGAAAGCACCAGCATTTTATAAATTTAATCATCCTCGGCATACAATAAGCTAACCAGATTAGCCTCTACTTATTCACAAAGAAGTGGGAAGAAAGCAAACCTGTATACAACTCCCATATTTGGGGTTAGTGACTGTATCTTCTGGACCTGAAACAAATGCAGAGTAATTAGGGCAGGCAGATAATGGCCTGGATATAAGGACCAGAATCAATCGAATACCGAAACCGATGAGACTCAGAGCTGTACAATACAGCATTACAGTCGTTTGGGACACATTTTTGTATGTATAATTTCTAAAGACATACTACTAAAATAGCCTGGGAAGAACCAAATTAAGTACTTACTGATGCTTCGTCAACCAGTATGGAAGGTAGCTTCTTCTCGGTCGCAATAACAACCCCATTAGAAGCTGTACAAATAATACGTCAATTCAAACCAATTGGAAAATATAGGAATTATAGAATTTAGAACTAAAAGAAACCTAATTTATGTACTGGGCTCAACTGAAGTTGCAGACTTCAGCTGGTTTTTGTGATTATACATTTGAGGAACTAAGTGAAGCCGAACCTTTGATTCCGAGAGAGGTTTGGCCAGAGCCCACGGCCGTCAAGGCGTGCTCGATCTGAACGAGCTTGCCGGAAGGACTGCCCGAATTGAGAAAATCAAACAAATCATTAAGCAAAACTCAAAATCAAGAACAAATGAACTCTCAAGGAAGGCGATTGAATCGCTCACCTGAAAGTGGTGAGGGAGAACGAGTACTGGGAGTCACCCATTTGCCAAACAACTACACAAGATTCATCAGAGAATTAAAACCCTAAATCGCAGAGAGCAAAACAATCCCGTCAAATTGCACCAACAGAACAACGAAGAGCTGAGCCCGCAACAACTCACCTCCGATACGCTTTCCCGGCGACGAGAGACGAAGAGTAAAGAATTGCTCCTTGAGATGGTTATTCGCCGGAGGGATCTTCCTAAACTCGCTTGGGTTTCTTTCTCAGTGTTTGATTACTTTCTTTTTCTTTATTTCAAGTAGCTCTGATCTCTTTCTTGGAGAAGAAGAAGGCTTCCCTTCCAGTGGACCGACGGGTACGTTTTCTGTGTTCCATATGTTGGGCTGGGCCCTATTTGTAAGAGGCTTTAAACGGTTGGCAGGCCTGCATAAATGAAGATTAAGGGGTGGTTTGGAAGTTGTGATTGTTGCACATAGGGATGGCAATAAAACTCGAACCCACGGGTACCCACCCGATTTAACCCGGTCAATGCGGGTAAAATCCGTGTTGACGAGTTTTGGGCCGGGTTCAGATTTAAACCCGCTACACTATTCACCGGGTCGGGTTGGGTTTAGGTAAACTCGCCCCATGGGTACCCGCCCACACACATATAATTACTTTCCCGGTATATTTAATATTCTAAATAATATATCTTTCTTAAATAACTAATATTCTTTATGTTTGTGCAGACATGTATAATTTGTTCTTTCTAATTGTTTAGAATGAAGTTGATATTATGAAGTAGAGAGTATAGAAACTTAGTTGATGAGGAAGAAGCTTTCAATTAATCTTATTTTTTATAGATGTTTATCTTTAATTTTGAACAATTTGTATTGATCATTTGCGGTTTGCTTGTATGCTCAAGATTGGTGTTTTTTGTATGAATAATTTGTATGAGAAAATTGATGTTAAACTTTTATTTTGAAAGAAACTTGATATTGTAAATTCTTTACCACAAAAACCCACAGGTACCCATGAACCCGCGGATACCCAACGGGTTGGGTTGGGTTTGAGTTTTTCAAACCCAGCGGGTTTTATCCCAGGTTTTTTTGGAGGATAAACCCATGGATTTGGGTTTGGGTTTGACAAAACCAGACCCAACCCGACCCATTGCCATCCCAGTTGAATAGATGTATTGTTGTGAATGCATGTATAATATTATACATGTATTGTCGAATTTGATGCATTATAAAATACAATGTTTGCTATGTGTGATTGTGTATGTCATATCAGCTAAAATCTTAGACAAAACGATCTCAATATAACAATCTCAGCAATCACAGTTCAAAGTTGAGATATAACACATCACTCATTTTGAGTGATAGTTTCTGTCACATCATGTAAACAATCCATGTAATATTTCTTATCATCAATCGATCACTAATGGATTCACCTTTTTCCTAAAAATGATGCCAGAGCAATCAAAATCTTTCCTTCTCTAAGTCCATGACTGATGCATCCTTCCTCTTTATGCACGATTCTTAGAGTCAACATTAAGTTTGCATTTTCGTAAGGTCTCTCTACTTAAACCTCTTCGAATCCAAGTTAGGGCTCATCACCACCCCATTTCATCATCATGATATTCTCTTTTGCCAACCGTTCACGGGAGCTCTCCTATTGGATCCCATTCCTTTGAACTCTCATCGCCATGATCAAGCTTACTCCAATTGTGAAATCACTCCCTACTATCAATACCCTTTTCTGACTTTATCAACCATGAAGTCTATTTCCAACTCAATCTTCACAATATTGGTTGGAACTTCCTTCTTGAATCTCCCACTCCAATATACCCTGAAATAGTGAGGTATTTCTATTTAAATCTTTGAAATTTTGGCCTTCATATTCGTACTTTCATAACTATTGTGTTTTGCCATATGATCACCATCCCAGTCGTTGAGCTCCATCACATTCTCAATGCTCCAGAAGGAGGATATTCCTTTGCCCATGACTCTGAGCTGGAAGCCTATCGCTTTGACATCGACCATGAGGTCGTTCAGCTTACCAGGCATCCTCCTGGTGAGCTTCTCATGATTCTAGTTGCCACTCTCCCACCATATCTAAGGGTATTCCATTACTTCCTCACTTGGACATTCTTCCCCGGAGTGCTCTTTCCGGATATGATCCTACATTTTGTTCTCTAGATTCTCTCTCATGTTGGCATTCCTCTTGATTTTACTCATCTTTTTGTCAGAACCCTGGCGCCCTTTGATGACTTCAACTATCATGTCTCACTACCCTTTGGACCCCTGACAACTTGTCTCCAAGTCAACCTTGGGATCAATCTCTTAGCCTTTCGAATCATCACGCCCATTTTGTTTCTCACCGCAAACGATGTTCTCCCAGAATTAGAGCTTGCAGTTGAGGGCGAGGATGATTCTCTTGAAGAATATGATCCTGAAGTAGTCTGGCTAAGCATCGACATTGAGTTAGAGTCATAGGATCACAGTGAGCAAGCCTCTCTTGCTAATAGGAGCGATCCCGATTCACCACTAATCACTGAGTCGGCCTCTCTTCCCAAAAAGAGTGATCCAGATTCACCCTAGTTCGATGATCCAGCCTATCTTGCCAATAGAAGAGATCTAGACTCACTTCAGTTTTCACCCTATGACTATGAGAATCATTTTGAAGGCACAAACCTCAACAACTCATGAGTGATCAAATCGGTTGAGTGATGGGAGAAAGACATGAAATTGCATAAAAGAAAAGCAGGGGAAGATTGTTGAGGGAAAACTTTCTCTTTCCGAAAATGTAAAATAAATAAATTATTACTTGTCATATTTGTTAATGTATGATTACATGAAAGAATCTCCCAAATTAAAGGAAGATCAAGTGAAAGATTGTTGCACCAAGATGGAGTATAAATAGAAGGAAGAAACAAGACGAGACTCACGAATGTGACAAAGCAATCCTACACAAAACAAGATCAAACACTCTGTGATTAGCAATAGGTGTAAGAAGTTATCGGTGTGTAGTGTCTGTATTGCTCGAGTGTTTATGAGGAAAAGAGAAAGAGGTATATTGCTCTATTCTTGTCAAGGGTTGGAGTTCCACCCAAAGGAACTCAACTTGGAGTTAGATCGGAATAAGATAATAACCTAGACTCTAGCTATGTCTCAAAGGGTGAGCCACATTTGAGCGGAGACGTAAGCAATATGCTGAACTCGTTTAACAAAAAATCCTGTGTACGTGTTACTCTCCTTACTCTCCTCTATCTTGTGTTTGCTTCTCAACAGGTACATGACTGACTAGTCTAAGTTTGAAGACGACCAGTAAAAGGTTAGATCCTAGTGAATTGCCAAGAGAGCAAATAACACCATACCATACGAAGAGTGATTAAGTGACATGTTTTTTTCCCTTACTTTTTCTAACACGGACACGATACTTAAAACTAATTACCTAAACTATGATATCTCCTATAATGTTGGAGATCATCGATATGATCTAGTAATTCTTATCTTTACTACCATGGTGCGACTAATTCAAAGTTCGAAAGAATTCATGAACAAGAGAAGATTTAAGAAGGGAAAGGCCACACCACCGGTGAACTTGAAGATGGCTCCAAATATGCGGCAGCATTTTCCTGGTTTTAGGATCTTGGTGATGAACGTACCAAGACAAAATCAAATTAAATTAATTGTTAATAACACCCTCAATTCGAAGCCAAATTCCCATCAGTCACTTTCCAAGTAAGAGATTAAGCAAGAAAACAAACATAATATATTATTGGTGTTGTGATGAATGGTTTTGTCTGGCTTTTTTCTTAATAATTACAAACGTAGCTTTCACTACTAATAAATTGGAAATTATGATTAGAAAAGCTTTATATAATTTCCCATATCCCAGCTGGAGAGGAGAGAACTATAGAAAAACTGACGAGACCAAGAAAATGTATTAAAAACAAATCTATGGTGGAGGAGGCAGGAGATTCCCATCCAAACTTAAATCTTCCAACAAAAATACAACTTCATTCCAATTGATTTGTTTAAGGTTGGGTAGTGGAGTCCATCTTCAGAATTACCAATACGAATCACATTCCAGTTTGAGATTATGTAAGTTTCCGGTAAGTTCACATTTGATAATGGTTTCACCTCTGAAATCGACCTTGAAAACGTTAACGAGACTATCATCCTCCGTTCTGGTAACATATACATGCAGACAAATCATACCCTTCCAAATTCATAATGCAACAAATCTATCATAAATCTATAAAATTTAAAAACTTTATACCCTCATTTTCAAGTTCAACAAGCAAACGACGCTTCAAATCCACCAATCCATTCACTAAATTATTCACATAATCCAATTAATTTAGATCCATATACAATGCATTGATTTTTTGTTAATATAATAAAGTAAGTTAATACCTATGCATTTTATATTGTACATTTTGATATCGAATTTATCTTTTAATAAAAACATACTTCTGAAATTGTATTTGCCATAATATGATACTTTTAGTATCCAATTTTTTTAAAATTTTCAAATCAATCCAAAAATTCGGTGCTATTTATTTAGGTGCACCAATCCAACCCTCGAATTCAATCACACTATCTCTAATCTAGTATTCGTTTAACTATTTTAATAATCACCGTAGCTCTTTTTTCTTTTAGACGAGGAGGCGGAATGAACACGACCTTCACATGCTGAAAAAAATTCATTTTATGCAAAAGAAAAAAAAGAAAAAAATCCAGTTCGTTTCTACCATTTTTGTCCTCTCCCTCTCCCACAGCCCCACCTCCTCCGTTGTTTTGCCTTCCCCTCCCCTCTCTCTATATCACAGTGCTTTGCTCTGCTCAAAAGGGGCCGAGCTCTGATTTGATTCTCTGCTTTTGTCCTTCCTTGATGCAGGTACCCTTCTCTCTCCACTCTCCCTCTTCTTCTCCTTCCGTTTCTCTGCTAACCCTTTTGGTAGATTTTCTGTTAGCTTCCTGGATTTCTCAATCCTTTTTGGTCTTTCCTCAATTTAATCCTTACTATTCCTGGCTGTGTCATGATGTTTTGGTCTCTGGGGTTGAATCAATTTGATGAGAATGATGATTCGAGCCTTAGTTGTCTGAATCCCTTATTGTTTTGCGGTTTGGCGCTGTCGAGCTATAGAGGGTTGCTCTTAATTTCCTCGAAAGTTTGAGGGTTTGCGTGCATGGTATTTTTGAGGGGCAGATCTGGGTTGTTCTTGGTTTAGTTGCTTATAAAGAAATTTATGCGGAGGAAGAAGATATTGTAAAATGAATTTCTGGGTGCTGCTGACTGTTCAATTATTTGTTTATGTTAAATTTCTGGTGAAATCTGGTTTCTTTCTTCCCCGGAAGAACTGAGCAATATACTGTTCCTTGGCACTCGATTTGAGCTATTGATTCCGTCGTTGTGGTTTTGTTCAACTCTTCTTCCTTTTTGTTCTTTCTCTTGTCATGTTCTGAACTTTGAGTTGTGATTGTAGTAAATTGGAAGGAACACTGTTCTTGGCTACATTAATGTGTCTCTCTGTGGCTTGGGGCTTAGATCTGAGTAAAGAGCCGCAGAAGTTTCGTGGGAAAGAGCTGATTTTTGAAATGTGGTGTGGTTTGTTTGATTTGTTAAATTGCTTGAATATTGCATTATTCAATCTAAATGTATGTTGAATCCTTGTTTTTATCTACCTAAGTTGTCTTGTGCTTTGTTGTGTTTGTAGTATGTACCACCTTGTGAACATGTCTGATGATATTGCAAGCACTGTGAATGAATTAACGAAAATGAGCCTTTCAGTTCTCCTACTTGATTCGGATTTGATGAGGAAGATGTACCTGTTAGTTTTATTACTTATTTTACCTTACTAGTTCAGTAATTTTCTGGAGGTATGAGTAATTTAATCTGAACTAGATTGTAAGTCTTCCAAATGGCTACTATGCTTGGCATCAATAAGTTTTCTTATAGTTTATGTTTGAATCGAGTTTTGTCTTTGTCAGGCTTGTTCATTTTTCATGATATCAAGTTTGTGCTCACAGGTTGTTTGGACACAATTGCTTTCTTTTGCTGATGTCTAATGTGACAAGTGCTGTTTGTTTCAATAATCATCGTCAGAAGTGAAAAGCGGGACAGTTTTTGTAAAGTCCTGCAGTGAGAGGTGGCATATTTGATATCCAGAACATGGAGGACGAGAACGGCCTTGAGCTAAGCTTGGGTCTAGGTTTTGGTGGATCCTCCTCCAAATCTAAGAGTAAAAATGAAAGCTCCCTGGATATTAGGATAGAAGACGAGATAGCAAACAAACAGAAAGATGATTTGAAAGTTCTTGGTGGTAGCTCTCAGAAGCAAGATTCAAGCGCTGGATATCATTCTCAGAGGAACGATTCGATAAAGCCACAGGAGAACTTCTTCCTTGACCTAACAAGTAGAAATGCTGATACTGATGCATCCAAAAGCCTTGGTGCTAGGGGTCTTTGGGCAGGATCTAGTAATAATAGATACACAGAAATTGAAGAGGAGAAAAGGAGTGAAGGGATTGCTAACAAACGTAAACTAGATTTTGAGGACATAAGCGCTCAGAAGAAGCCAGATAGAGATGCTAACCGGATAGATTTTCATGACAAGAGAACATCTCATGTTTCTCTAACGGAAGAAGGATCCACTGCTGAAAATGAAGATGTTGCAGATTCGGAAGTAGAAGGTTCGACCTCGAGGTTTATTGATGAGGGCTCCAAGCAGCGGTTTGTTGGAGTTGGTGGTCCGGAGGCTCCAAAGGAGTTTCAAAGGTTTCCTGATGCAAGTATGATGGAGTTGCATGGTCAAATAAGGCCTGCTGGTTTGCCGGAAAATGGATTTAAACACGGGATGAATTTTGGGGTCCCATTTTCGGTCCAACCAGCAAACATCATGAGCATGTCCTATCAATATCCAGTGGAAGATTCCAACCCAGTTGGTGCAAGCATGACGCCGGTAGTTTCTACTTCAAATGGTGACCAGCGAATGGCGGTCCACAAAGTGAATCCAGGTACTTCATCAATAGCTTTCGGCTACTCACCTGTCCAACTTCCAACTCTGGACAAAGATAATTCGTGGGGCCTGATTTCTCAGCATCAACACTTCCAGCCTCCTTATGGAGCCAAACCACCTGCAACCTTGGATAATAAAAATCATGAAGGACTCAGAATTTCTCAAGGTACTTTTTTTTCTTCCTTCTTCTGTTAGTTTAGTTCTCTCTGCAATAATAGATCTCCGAACAAGACATACTGGTCAAGTGAGATCAGACAAATCAAGAAGACACGATCCATGCTCTTACAGCCATGCAACCGGCTGTTGCTGACTCCATTGTTTAAACTTGCAGCCATGCAAATAATTGGTCGAAACTCCTCCGAGGCTGCACCATATGATGCAAGAGTGTTTGATCGGCCCAAAGCTGATGGTGGCAAACAACATGGTGCAGAACAAGAAGGCTCTTCCTCTCAGGCCGAAGATGAAGGAAAGAGCAGCAGCAAAACAAACCGTCGAGCAGCACCAGAAGACGGGTTGTCTCACGACTTCTCGGCCATAAAGCCGGGAATTTCTCCCGAGGTCAAGTTTGGAGGCTCCGGATCCTACCCAAACCTGCCGTGGGTTTCCACCAAGGCTCCAGGCCCAAATGGTCGGACGATATCAGGCGTGACTTACAGGTTTAGCCCCAGCCAGATAAGGATCGTTTGCGCTTGCCACGGTACACACATGTCCCCCGAGGAATTCATCCGGCATGCAAGCGACGAGAACGCCTCCACGGGAGAAGGTAACAACGGTGGGTTAGCGGCAGCATTTCCAGGTACCAATAACCCATCTGCATCTGCTCATAGTTGAGAGGTGTTTGAACTACGCAGTTGTTACCACATACAAGTAGACGCTAGGCTATCAGTCTAAGCGACCAGCTTTTGTATACTGTTAGAGAATCCACACTCCATTTTTTTGTTCTCTCCTTTGCTTCTTGTTGCTTGCTGTGTTGTTGGAATTGTCGTGGTGTCGATATTGTTGTTTGTGATGATATTCATCTGTCTGTTACTCTCTACAATCGAGTGTCTTGCGGGTTCGTGTTGTTCAATAATCAACATGGGTACAATGTCGTCGTGACTATGGTTGATGGGAGGATGGAAAACTTGAAAGCATGATTGCCATGTCGTCACAGGTTATGGCAAATGGCTTGAGCAGGAGAAGACGGGATCCGCCATAACCATGCTGGTAAGTCTTGTTCCACAGCTTACGTTATGAACATGTACAGTGAGTTTAAGGTTACTACTGTCTTGCATATGTTCTGGTAATTACAAGTTAGTGTCTTGTTTCTTTCGATGTGACTAAACAAGAAAACCATTAGTGTCGTATTTGGGCAAGGTAGCAGCATTGATTGATCCCCCCCCCTTTCAATAATGGCTGCTCTTTGGTTGACATTTTTCCGAGAATGGAAATAAGAAATTGCTGTCTCATTTTCGAAAGGAAGAAACAAAATTTGCGGGGAATTTTTGGTTCTCTTGTTTTGATGTCTGGTTTTGTCCTTCAAAGACAAGGAAGAAGAACACGTACAAACAAACTTGAGCTTGTTTTGTCGATGTCCGTTGACTTTCTGCTCGGCGTGTGTGTCATCGACCCTAAAAAATGGTTGCTCGTCTCCTATTATATTTCATTATTTAAGGTCGATGATGAACAAGAAAATAAATGAATTTACGTGATAGGGATGTAGTTTAAGTATTCCTTATGGATTAGTCGTGATTCTAAAAGAAACGTCTATATACGATACACGGCTATCGTGATCTCGAAATGTGAGGTGCACCATGTCCTAGCCATGTTACATGTACCTTCTTGCAAATGTTTTAACTTGACATTGCCCTATTGATTATTGATCCTTGTTCTCTTTCGAAACTACAAATACCTTTGTTTGACTATAAGATTAACCAAATTAATTTTTTTTTTGGTGAAACAAATTATTATGAATACTCTTACGATGGTTTAGGGTTCCCTCACAGCTCTAGTTTGGTCTTCTTCTCTTGGATGGTTATAGCTGTAGTCGCGTCTCCTAATCATACTTTGTTATTAAACTTAAAATGATGATTAGACGATCAGGTCAACTGCTTGGGCTATTGGCCTTTCATATTTAATTGCGTTTGAGTTGCTAATAGCATTCCACATATTATATTTTAGGTGGTGATTTGGACTGTTCTTCGAGCTTGAATTGAATGTTGAAATCAACGGTATAGATTATAAGAGGAAGCCTGCTTTGATATACACTCTTTTAATTGATGGCCAATTAAATATGAAAATACTACTTGAGTAGTTGAATTGCATGATGTTGACTATGGTTGAAATTTTTACAATTGTTGGCTTTGTGAAAGGGTGTAAATATATTTTTCTTAAAAAATGAACGTAGTTTACGACGACTCTACCGTAATTCTAATCTTCTAGTTTTGGGTTTACATAACCTCTCGTTCCATGACTAAAATCTCAACAAGAGTTGCACATGTCTGTCTTTTGTCTGGTGGACTGTGAGAGGAGCAAAAAATGATCGTGTCATATACATTATAACGGGAAATCTTTTTATTGAGAGAATAACAAAATCTTCATTGAGGTAAAACTATGATCTTATATTGCCACTAGAAATTGGACAAAAAGAAAGTGTGTGATAGGTTTTAGATATATCAAAAATTTCATAGAAAGGAGAGATCGAAGTGGATACCCTTCTTTATTAAGTTTCCATGTTTATGTACTTGGATTAAAATAAGTGAAGCCTTTGACGAAAATATAACGAGGGGAATTATATTTTGCTTGAAGCACTTCATCGGAAATAGAATATATACTCAAATTACCCTATCAATTCATAAGCAAGGCCATCGGTGGTTGCCACGGAATGAGATGTCCTTGCTCACGCAGAATGTTTTCCTCTAATTGTCTATACACTTTCGAGATAGAATGCAATAGAAAGAAAGTTAGATATCGAAATCGAGAAAAAAATTTCAACTTTTCATAATTGCAAGATTGGTGTTAAATTTACCTTCAAGAAAAGCTCCCTTATGTCACATTACCCTTTGCCTTACCAACTACAGATTCTGGTTTCTTATTTCCAAATTCACCCACTTCAAAACCTATTGTATTTAAAAAACAATCTTCAACGTTCAATGGAGAGATCGAAGAGGAGATTATGTCAAGTCTTAATTGAAAAGTGCTTAATTTTGATTAAGCGTGATAGGCAACGTACGGCATGAAAGATCATCGATTTCATAAAGATCTCTTTCACTTTTAAATGCAGATCTAGTGAGTTCCATGCTCAAAGTAAATATAACTTCAGTGGAATCAGATCAAGTGTATTTGGTGCAATTCGAATGTCAATTTTTTTTTATGAATTCAATTCGAATATGAATTTGATCATATTTTCCCCCGAGTTTAAGTGGATACATGAAATCGAAACATGTACGATTCAATTTGGATTGGCGTCATAACATTTTATTTACAAAATTGACACCATTATCATCCAACCATTGGCAAAAGCGTCCGGTCCACGATTCCGTTGACTCTCGCGGTGGTGACCATGTGATGGGCCTCTGCGGCCCACTAACACAGCCCATGTAAATGGCGGGATTCTGTTGGTCGCTTAATTGGTGCCCGGCCCGATCATGGTGTGAGGATTGACCTACTAGTCGGGAGTTATAGCAAGGTTTAGGGTATCCTTATGTTAAAACATTTGTTGGAAAATGGACCGGTTTGGCAATCAAGGACACAACTAGAGCTAAATTAGTTTTTCTTAAACCATATGGCTAGCCGTATAGTGGAAAATGATTGTTGAGTTGGAACGGTATATTGTTACGACGACTCGCTGCTACACAGATTCACAAGTTATAAATGTCTCTTGCACGTGTGCAGAATGTGTGCCTGACATTCCTAAATAAGTGCATCATTGTCTCCTACATATATACAATATATATTGGCACACAAGTTTGCCATAGAGAAGGGGCTCATAGGTACACTTAGACGTGCATCATGTCACATTTGTGTGCATGGTTTCTCAAGTAGTGAAGGAATTACCTCCTCCGGGTATACATGTCCTAGGTACCACCTCGTAAGTCGAAACTTACTCGGAGAGAACCGCAGAGTGCAGCACCTTGCACATATTTTCTATATCTCTGTATCTCTTTAGGTCTACCTCCACGCTCCAGCCACAAATGGTATTTGAGTCATGCTACGGTATGAGTTTTATCTCCCATAGATTTCTGACTAAGAGCGTTGGAGGAGGTCCCTGCCGATCCAAGACTGGTGGGACCTTTTCTTTTGCATTTTGTTGCATAGATCAGAAGAGAGGAGATTGAGCTGAATGCTTTTCTTGGTTAGCGATTGTAGAGCATCTTGTTATCACTCTGTTCTTGAGCGGGTTCGTCCTATAATCCCTTTTTACTGAGTGCTTCAAATGTAGCAACAATGACAATGCATCGTAATGTGTTTGGGATCTTTTAAAAATCAAAGTAGCACATTGTAAGGTTTAGGGGAATAGGAAACGTGAATACAAGTTAACTTAAGATACAAGTAAAACACACATTACTTATCCCTAATGCACATCATTGTTGTCTCAAACATCAGTAGAGAACAGAGCTTTTAGCCCAGTTGTCAAACAAGATTCAATAGTTAAAAAGTATATTTATTGCGTTACAAAATTCCAATACAACTAACTGTATTATACAATTTAAACAACTCGTATTATGAGTAGTTAATCCAGTTCTTCTTAAGAAAACAAATTACATATGAATCGATTGTCATGTGGAGTAAGAGAGTTTTCTCATCAACAATAAGTAAAGTTTGTTACACAAAAAAAAAAAAAAAAAAACTAACACAACAATAAACAATTTTTTTTTTTAATTTACTCAAACTTCTAACACCTTAAATTACCAATCCTAACATTTGATTTTGTTTATATATAAAAAAAAAACTATAACCCTTTGGAGTTTTCCCTAGGTACAGCCGCTATTCCTGTAGGTATATTTTCCTTGACATTGGTTATCATGTTGGGAAATCTTCATCACGTTAAAAAATTACACCACAGTTGGATTTATTTGCTTTCCCCTCATCCTTTTGCCATACATGCACGAAGAAAGCAACAACAATAATAATGCTCCTATTTGGATAGGCTTTTCTTGAGATCGATAAACCTTTTGCATCTTATTAATCAAAGAGATACGACTTTGCACGATAGTTAGTTGAGTTTGATCAAAGCTTGCATCTTTGCAAGTGCCCACTACATTGTTACGATCCTTTTTGCAATTGCTTATTAAGTGTCATGTAGGATAATTTGCAATTGAGCAAATATCATTGATGTGGATGCTATTATATGTTGTTTTTCATTTGATAGGGTGTGTAAAAAAATTATACAAATTTCATAAAACACTTCCCAATCACTTGAGTTATTCATTTATTTGTGACACATTGATTCTTTTGCGAACAAAGACTTTCACTGGTCTTAAACTGGAAGGTTGGGAGTTCAAATTCTTTAAATAACACCTTACAATGAAAAACAAACATATATCACTTTTATCTATAAAAAAATTCTATGTTCAAATTCAATTATATTCAATTTTACCTCTATTTAAAATAATTTATAAAGTAAAATAATTATATCCTAGCCGATTAGATTTGACCTGAAAACAACAAAATCAAATCAACATTTTCGGCAAACAATCATATAAAAACCAAAAACCCACCTAATTTTCATAAGCATCCTCTGCTCCCTTCTAATTCTAAACACCAGCCATCATTACCGGAGAAATCCCCACCGGAAAAGGAGTACAGCAGCGGCGATTCTGGCACCATCATACTCTTCCAAAGTTATTGCCTTTTTCCTCTACTTTCCTTCTCCGACCAAAATAACTCAGGCTGGAGTGGACTCCAGCTTCTTTTTCCCCCCCCACATGTATTCCCTCCGCCGTCTTCCACCCATCGCCCTCCTCCTCCTCCTCTTCGCCGGCGGCGTGGCAGCGCAACCGAACACGACGACCCAGGAGTACGCACCGACGACACCGCCATCGCTAAACAACTTCCAGCCGAGCCTGGCAGTGGTAATCGGAATCCTATGCATAATGTTCTCCATCACGTTCGTCCTCCTACTCTACGCCAAGTTCTGCCACCGCGGCTCCTCCGCCGCCGCAGCCGCCGAGCTGCTCCGCCAGCAGGGCCTAACCCGATCCGCCTCCCGATTTTCCGGGATCGACAAGACGGTCATTGAATCCCTCCCCTTCTTCCGATTCTCCTCCCTCCGCGGCGACAGGGACGGCCTCGAGTGCGCCGTCTGCATATCCAAATTCGAGGACGTCGAGATCCTCCGGCTGCTGCCGCAGTGCAAGCACGCCTTCCACATCAATTGCATCGACCAGTGGCTGGAGAAGCACTCCAGCTGCCCGATCTGCCGATCGAGAGTCAACGCCGAGGACCCCTCCGTGTTTGCGTACTCCAATAGCACGCGGATGATGTGGAGCCAGTCGGCGGAGCGGCGGCTGCCGGAGGATTTGGAGGCAGGGGAGGTGGAGGCAGAGCACCGGGGAATTTCGGCGGCGGAGGACGAATTGGGGCTTTTCGTTCAGAGGGAGGAGAGCGGGAGGCGGTCGTCGTCGAGATTCAGCATTGGGGGAAGTTTCCGAAAGGCAGGGAGTAAAAGCGGCCGGAAAGAAGACCGGACTCCGATTCTGGAAGAAACAGGGGACGGCGAAAATGGCGGTAGGGGGGAAATTCAAATTGGGTACCATAAGTTCAATCACAGGATCATAGTCTCCGATTTCGCTTTCAAGAATCGATGGAGCAGCGTCGGATCATCGGACCTGATGTTTCTCAGCTCCGAGATGCTTAACGACGCCGCCGGCGAGAGATTCTCGTCTCTGGATAAATCGAGCGGGACCCAACCGGCGGAATCGAGCAGCGGGAATAATAATTACTTGCCGGCCGATGCTAATGCTGTCAATTACTCGAGGGGGATTGTTGGCTCGTCGGCGGACAGGCGAGCGGTGTCGGAGCTGACGGGGGTTTCGAGATTCAGGAGCTTGGGTGTGAATTCTGGTGAGGGGCCGGTGCCGGCGGAGGAGAGGCAGAGGCGGGCGTGGATTCCGATCGTGAGGAGAACGGCGGAGTGGTTCGCCAACAGGGAGAAGCGGAAGACGGCGGCGGAGACATTAGATGTGTAGATAGTCAACGGTTTCCCTTTTCTTTCTGATTTTGCTGTTCATTTCAGAATTTACCCTAATTTTTCTTGAATAGCCATACACGTTACATTCAATAG